CCTCAGTATCTTCGGAGTCCGAGCCTGAGAGAGATTCGTCTAGGTCGCCAACCAGCTTCTCAAACTCGGTCTCGGAGACGGGATTTTGGCCGCGCAGCTTTTGCTTTAAGTTGTAGTTGTGGAAGTCGGATTTCAAGTGGCTCCGCTGTTCTTGAACTGTTGGGAATGTCAGGCTGCAGAGAGAGCAGCTTTGCGATCCAACTAGATTCTCTGACGATGCGCCCGGGCTCACGTCTCTCGGGGTTCGCGACAACCCTTCGCTAGCAACTATCGAGGCGTCGGTGTCTGCTTTCAGGGTAAGGGTATCTAGAACCTGAGGGGGTAGATCGTAAACTGTGCGACAACATTAGCACAAGATATCGGCTGGGGTTGGGAAAGGAAGCGCTAACCGTAGAGCGGCCTGCGCAAGAGGTCCTCCTGAGCCTTCGACATAGTGAAAGAGGGGGTCTATTAGCACGGGGACGGTGAACTGGGTTGATGTTTCAATTCGAAATCGCTTTCTAGGTAACAGGCAAAGAAATAATGGAAGACGACTTTTATAAGGCCAAAGGAGAGAAGCTGTTTCGTATGTGGACGGACGAAAGAACTTCCCGAATGACGTTGGCGTCGAGCTGAGTCAATCGGCCAGCGCCCCGCCCCCACCATAGCCACAATCTTTTCTTAGCGAGGAGTCATCGCATCCGAGCGTCTGCCTACCCTATACTATTGCCATAGTGCAGTTGGGAGCGGTCTATGCAGTCATCTTCCTTATTGTTTTAAAAGTTTTAGATCTCAAGTATACATTGAAACTCTTTTTGACTCTCTTTGCTGCCTCTCTCTCGGTATCCTCTTTTTTTATTCTTCCATATTGAATTTTGGACTCAAACAACACTGTTAACACCCGCCAACTTATTAACCCCCCCAAATGGATGACACTGGAAATGGCACACCTAGGAACTCTCTGAGCAGAAGCCTACTTTTATTCTACAAAAATAGCCCCTAGCGAAAATAAGTCGTAAGAAATAAGATTTAAATTCAAAGACGAGGTACGCATTTTTAATTCATCGTATTTCTCCGAGTTCAAAGGTTGAATTGATTGTTGAAAGGGTTCATACTTTGGTGTGCCATTTCCTGCGTCACGCACTTACCCTCCCCAAAAAACACATTCTCCCAATTTGTTCCCAGATTCTCTGCTGATATAAACATGAACTTAAGGTTATAAAATTGGCTACATCTGGCCCATGGACTCCTCCCATTCGTATCCTGCCCTAGCGATCAGCAAGGTAGGGAGGGATCAGCGGATGGAGCATCACTGCCCCCGCCACATAGCGTCACCGCAAACCCCCACCTTCCGGCCTGGCCTCGATGCTGATAGGCACGCGATAGAAGATACCCTCCCCCTCCGACCCCTCGTCCAGCTGAAGGTCCAAGGTACAGCTGCAGATCTGGGTTTATGATTGGCACTGTCGTCATTCCTGCTGGATCCTTGATTTTTAGTGAGACGAAGCGCAAACCAATAGATGAGGTAACCGCCTATAAATATATCACACCTTCTCCCAAGATTCCGAAGGCATCTTTCCCGTCAATCTTCCTTGATAGATATAATTCGTCATTGAATCTACGTGTGACCAAACTCTAAAACCCAGACTCATAATAATTACATACTACATCCATCCTGATCAGCATGGATTTTGTCAAGAAATTCACCAGCGGCGAGAGCGACAACCAGCAGTCTACGGACAGCAGAAAAGAGGAGAACAGCAGCAGTGGGGGCGGCTTCATGGATAAGGTCAACGAGTTTGGCGGCGGCGGCAAAAAGGGTGAACAGAACGAGGACGCCCTCGACAAGGGTAAGAACACAGTCCCATGAGCTGTTGTCACTTGTCTCCTCATTGTTACGCAAACTTGGCTGACATACTGTTTCTTGTATAAGCTGTGGACTTCGTCCAGGAGAAATTCCTTGGCCAGGGTGATCAAAGCAACGAGAGCGCTGCAGAGCAGGCCAAAGATGAGGCCATTTCTGACTTCATCCGGGATCAATACAAGGGCAAGACGGGCAGCGACTTCCCAATCTCAGACAAGGATAAGAAGTATGGAGCCTGAGCAGGCATTGCAGTTACAGTTTATTAAATAATTGATTTCGCCCGTTATATCTCTTGATGAACTTGATAAATAATCTCCCCAACGCCTATACTCGCCAACTTGGATTGCCCGCCTACTTAGATTGCCCTGAGCGCAAATCCAAAGAGATACGGCACGATGAACAATATAAAGATTGCCAATGCACCTACGAGTGCCGCCACTGTAAATTCCTCCGTGCCAAACTTCAACCATGTGTAACTCTGCCCATCCATGAACTTGGACAACCCCTGGCCCTTGCGCTGCTCGTGAGGCCAGGGAGCTTCCACCCTCAAATCGCCGAGTATCTGCTCTGCCGTAATCTTGGCACCTGCCAGGACGATGGGCACACCAGTGCCCGGGTGCGTGCTGGCGCCGACGAAATAGGTCGACTCGAGTTCGGGCGCCTTAGTCTTGGGACGGAACCAGAGCACGTTGAAGAAATTGTGCCCGAGGCCGAGGATGGCCCCCTTGTCCAGGTTGAACTTGTTCTCCCAGATCAGGGGAGTATTGACAATTTCGTGCTGGATGGAATCCTCGAGTGGCCGCTTCAGCCCGAGGCGCTTGTTCATCGTCTCTAGGATGGATGAGCGGGCGCGTTGCACGATCTGGTCCCATTGCTGCTCGTCTTCGGGGAGGCCCCCGTCTGCGGCGTTGATGCCCTTTGAGCGTGAGAGGTGTCCAACAGGAACCAGGCAAATCACGCTGTCGCGCCCCTCGGGAGCGGCAGTTGGGTCCACCCTGCTGGGAACGTGGACGTAGAAACTGGGCTCATCGGGAAGAGTGTGCTTGGTAAAGATGGATTCGAAGGACTCGTGATACTGCTCGGCGAGGAAGATATTGTGAGTGGAAAGCTCCGGGACTTTGCGATCCAAGCTCCAGTAGAACGAAATCGAGCTGCAGGATGCGTCCTTTTTCTGAAGACTTTTGCTGCGAGATTCAATCTGAGGGGAACGGGGTAGAAGGTTGCTATAGGAGTAGACCAGATCGGCATTGAGCACAACGACGTCGGCCGACAGTGTTTCTCCGCCCTCAAGCAAAACACCAGATGCCTTCTTCCCATCGGGGGAAGTCAGGACTTTGGAGACTGGAGAAGAAAGCCTATACTCGACTCCAAGCCTCTCCCCGATCTTGACCAGGGCATCAACGACCGTGTGGAAGCCACCCTTGGGGTACCAGATACCCTCGGCGAACTCAGTGTATTGAAGAAGAGAGTATGTGGCCGGGGCGTCAAACGGGCTCATGCCCATGTACATGGTCGCAAAAGTGAAGACTCTTCTCAACCTTTCGGTGTAGAAATATCTGCCAGCCCGAGCCCAGATGCTCTCAAAGGGATGCATGTCGAGAATCTTGGAGAGAAAACTCGGGCGTGCCATATCCCAGAAGTTCATAAAGTTCTTTTTCAGCACCTCCCTCACGGAGATTTCGTAGTGCCTATGGCCCTCCTGGAGCCAGGCCACCCAGCGTTCAAAGCCCTCGGGGCCCTCCCACCGCTCAATCTCGGCTCGCATTGCGGCCAGATCCGAGCTGTGCTGGAAGCGAGCGCCGTCATGGAAGTAGACGTTGTAGTTCGTCTCACAGCGCAGCAGATCCACGCCGCTGTCAGGCATCGTGGTCCCCAGATCCGCAAAGGTCTCACGGAAGAGCTGTGGGAGAAGGAACAGGGAAGGTCCCTGGTCGAAGCGGTAGCCATCGTGGTGGATGAGCGAACAGCGACCGCCGGTGAAGTCGTTCTTCTCCACGACTGTCACTTTCAAGCCAGCCTTGGCCAGGCGAGCCGCAAGAGCGACACCTCCGGCTCCGGCACCTGCGATGATGGCTGGTCAGAGTGTTTCTTGTAAACTGAGATGAGCTGAAGTGATCAACTTACCAACAATTATTACTGACTTGGGCTTCTCCATTTTAGGCCTTCTTACAAGATGATAACGGTATAATGGGTGACCGTGACTTCCTCTCTATACGGGACCACAGGGTTTATATGGACCGGCCATTGTGTGATCCCGACTAGGCCCATACCTGGCCGTTGACGGCCACATGTTTGCTCGAGGACAATTCGGCTGCTGCGCCATCAAGGCTACCGCGCAGCGCAAGCGAGGACTTCACTAGTGCCCTCTACGCCCGCAGCACAATTGGCTCATGAAGCCGGGCTTCGGTGCGTTTGCGAGTGCGAGGTGCCCCTTTGGTTGGTGTAAGGGTCTATATGTATGACACCATGACTTCTTCATCCCGTTCCATCCACAAACGCCGCTCCCTTTTCCCGCTGTAAGGGATCTGGATGGCCCGGTGGAGATGAGCGGCCGACCCTTGGATCTAAACTTGTTCCGGTAGCAAAGTCTTGCCCAGGTGATATTAGCTTCTGAAAAGGCGGCCTATGTCGTGGATCTGTGGTGTGCATCGTGGGAGCGGGCCACCCATCTTGAGGCCACCCCCCGCTGACATTTGGTTGCAGGGACCTGGACATCGGATTTGTGATCTTGGCATGCATGTCTGATCGTGCTTTGTGGAATTCGATCCGTGATGGTGACATTTACCATCTGGATCGGATGGATACGTGGCATTGCTCCGTGGCTGCTTTACCGGATCCCTCCCAGGCTCCTCGATCTTAACAACCATGACTTGGTCTACGCATCGCTGGAATGTACACCAACACACCAATGCTGCATTTTCGCGCATTGAACACAGACCCCGGTTTGTTGCATGTGCTGAAGTCACAGTGCAGGTTTTTGTTTGCCCAGTTTGCGAGAATATCGACTTCTTTCTAAAATCAGTATGGTATTCTAAGAAAATGAAATTAATCCAAGGACGTATGTGACCTTGAAGATGGCAGAATGTAGCCGAAAGCTAGATATGACTAGATGCGAAAACCACAAAAAATTTCAACCCAGCTAACATATGCAACACCTTCAAGAATTCCGCAGCGCTGTTTTCCACACAACCCCAATGCGTCGCCAGGCCGGAACGGTGGCCTTCCCCTCCACCCGAAGCCCCCCTTCTGCGAGAACCCTCCCAATCTCCATGTAGCTCTCAACAGCCACAATCATGGGGCCCCGGCCCTCCTTCGGGATCATGTCCATAGCCGGCCTCGAGTTCCTGTACCTCTGGAACGCCTTGCCAAGCAGACGTCTGCGCATCACGTCAATCTGCGGGCCCGACGGCTTCTCCAGGACCATCTCCGTGGTCATGCCCTCCTCCTCCAGCCACGAGGCGGGGAGGTACACGCGCCCAATCTTGGCATCCACCACCACGTCCCGCGCGATGTTGACGTACTGCAGTGCGATGCCCATCTCCTTGGCGGCCGAGTACAGCGCCCGCTTGTTCTCGACCTTCTGCAGCGTGTGGTGGAAGATGACGTCCAGGCAGAGCTCCCCGATCGTGCTGGCCACGCGGGAAGCGTACAGCTCGAGGTGCTCCTCCTCCTGGATCGGGGGCCGGTCCGACATCTTGAACTCCACGTCGGTCCGGAAGCCCTCGAGGAGCTCGTAGAGTGGCTCGGATGAGATGACGTGCGTGGGGAGTAGATTCAATGCAGAATGCGCCGAGGGCGGGAAGTTGGCGCGGATAAAGTGGCCCACGTTTGCAGCCTTGGGAGCACAGTAGACCGAGTCAAGGTGGCCTTTCAGCTTGGAAATCCAGTCCAGTGCCTCCTCCGGAGTCTCTGCATTGTCAATCAGATCGTCCGCCAGGCGGCAATACGAGTAGCTGTATATTCATATTAGTGACCGGATCGCGAGAAAGTCGCCTAGGAAGGGAGAAGGGAAAAGTAAACGTACAGTAAGGTCAAGTCGATGCGCACCCTCCCAGGGAACACAGAGCTGGCGATGTGGAAGCTGCGGCTCTTCTTCTGTAGTCTTGCGACGGACTCTTGAATTCCGACGATGCGCTGCATGTCGTACTGTGCCGAAGGAACAGCACGAGCCCGAAGCAAAGACATCATAGGGACTGAGCTGGATGGCTGGGGGAACAGCTCTGGAAAAGCGTCGTGGACAGCAGTGGCCTTGTCGAATGCAAGGAGGCCGAAGACGACCAGCATGTTGGAAATCAAGAAGAAGATGGCCTCCTCGAGATCAAGACTGCCAAATAATTGGCTCCCAAGCTTGGTGTCGTCTTCTATCGTCCAGATCCCTTGTCTCAGCGACAGCTCGTCCACAAACCATAGATAGATGGTTGGTGCCATGATTGGCAGGACTGTGCTCGTCCATGGGAGCGCGAGGATCATGTCGCCGGAGAGACTCCAGGTCATGCATAGTACGGGACATGCCCAAGCGAGTATGAGCCCCAGATATGTTCTCTGGTCATTCTGAATGACAAGGAAGCCGCCGAATGCTGTAAGTGCAACGAAAAGCAATTGACCAAAGGCCTTTCCTTGCCGAACCCATTCTGGGCGAGCTTCTCTGGTGGTGAGATATTGCGCGAGAAGAACTGGCTTGTTGCAGAGTATATACACCAAAGACGTGATGTATGTCTGAATGACGAAGAAGAAGAGTTCCTCAACTGGAATGCTGAAGAGGGATTGCCCCAGCACTCCGTCTTCTGGGTATGTCCAGACGCCGGTGCGGATGAGATAGGAATCCCAAGGGATAGTAGCCGTGACAGCTACAGTCACAAGAAACAGGATTCTTGTAGCATCAAGGTATGTGAGAAAAGGCTTGGCTATCACGGTGAGAAGTCCCGCGAGCGGGATGGTGAATTTGACATGGCTGTCGTTGTGGTTAGTGATGGGTAATGGTACGCTACACAATTGATAGCCGTCATGACACTTACACAAGGGCGTAGTCGAAGAACATGATGCCTGCCAACTTCCGCAGTTGAGGCTCCTTGGGTTATTCACTTGGACTGCGCTTGATGAGGGCGACTGAGATGGATAATCAAGGAGGGGGGGCGGCGCTGGCTTGCGATATTAAAGTCTAAACTGATTTGTATGCAGGTTGGCATACGGCGTCCAGATCGACTAGTCGTCTGCATATCGTAACTATCGATGGACCCGATCGATAACGAGTCTCGGAATACTGACCTGGCACAACGACGCGGACTGATAACAGCCCGGTGGACAGCAGACGGCTGGGGGAGAAGGGGGGCTCATGTCTGGAAACAGGACTCTGGTGAATCATCACTCGATAACATCCCAAGCCCTTTCTGGATGAAGTTTGACAATGGACTGAGACTAACCGAGGGGCTGTCTGCCGCCAAGGATGTACGCCAATGCTGGTTCCTCCGTGTAGCTCGTGGCTTCGTACCTGCCGAAGACCCCCTTTACTTCGGAAGAGGTCTTAGTGGCCTTCTAGAGCCCGCTTTAAGGGCGTGTGTGTAATGTTTGACCGGGTCCATCCGTGGGAGCGACCAGGGTCCAAAGTCTATGACGCGCTATATTAATTGATCAATTTATCTTTTTTTTTTTTTAAGTTATTTTATTTGAGCTCAGAGTTGAGATGGTGCGGTACCTACAATGTGAATATCTCCGAGAGGTTGTCATTGGTCAATTCCTCATGTCCCTATGGAGGTATCGGGATGCAGCGTAGGCACACGTTGGCATGATTTACCCTCACCATTGAGAGCATGTTGCATGAAGAATGCATTCGACGAAGCTTGACGAAAGCCCGATGTAGCTCGTAAGTAGACTTCAACAGGATAGGTCAATCAAAACAGACTTAATTCCATCTACAATCCGATAGGTTTCCCTATAGTTAGCTAAGCCAACTCCCATATCCTTGCCATGCCTTGTCCAGTAAAACCCGATATATTATCCCATTTTGCAAATTCCAGCTGCCCAATACCCTCCCCAAGTAGCGACCCATGGCAAGCCTAACTGCTAGTCAGGGCTGTACGAGATGGAGCAAAAGAGTGGTAATTGTGAAAAGAAGCAAAGGATTGTAATTCAAAACAGTAAAGGAGGGTGAGTCAAAAATAACGAGAAGACATAGGAACACGCATTAAAGACCAAAAGATAAGTATACAGGCGCCGTTGATTCGGCATTGGAGGCAAGCGCTCAAACCTTGATTCTACGCTAGAATCTCCCATGCCTTAGGTGGAAGACTCATAGGACTGGTTATTAGCTGAAGTCAAGGTGGCGCCATCGAAATGGCCGCCATAACGAGGGCCGTTGTTATTATCCCGACGAAAGCTGTTGTTCCGGCCATTGTATCTCTGACCACCTCGCCGGCCACCTCTTCCACGATAGCCTTGACCAGAACCTCGTCCTCGGCTTTGTCTATACGTGTTGCTGGATTGGAACCACTGGCTGCTTCCAAACGGCGAATGGCCGAACGGGGTAGACGAGGGGTAATACATGGGCATGACGAAGCCGGGTGGCGAGAACGATATACCATTGAGCTGATCGTGGAAGGGGTGGTGCTGGTACTGGCCCATAATAGCTGTCTGGCTGGTGGTATGCAAGCCGTGAGTTCCATGAAACCCGTTGGAGCCATTGGCTTCACTTGGGCGCCTCACTCTAGTTAGGCTGCTGGCACTATTCGCAACAGTGACCCCGTTTGTGCCCAGGGTTCTGTTTGTACCAGAAGCCCGGTTCACGTTTGCACCTGCGGCACCATGTGCAATGGTGGCCCTACTATCATCATTGACTTTGCCTGGATCGTTGGTTCCGGCTTGGTTGTTGTTGGATTGCTTTCTGATCACTACTGTAGTGTCCGATGATCTCCAGTTGCCGTCTCCGTCCTTTTCGTTGTCATTGTCTTTGTCTTTACGAGCTTGACTGTCACGGAGTCTCCATTTCGGTGTCGGCTTTCGAGAAGTGCGGGGCTTCTTATCAACGGAAAAGTCGATCTTTTTGATGGGGTCGGTAACCATGATGTGACTTGTCAGGCCAGATCTTTCAAGGTCGTCCGGACTGGCCGTACAGACTTGGAAAACATTTTCAATCTTCTCCATGGTCCTCACTTCGGGTACCCACATACGCACATACTCGCCCTCGCGGTCATAGTCATATGCCTGCTTCACAGGATTGAAGATTCGGGCTTCGCCGCGAGGGTCATTGCCTACGCCGGCAACATACATCCAATTTGACCAATTGGAAGACACATCGTAATCCACGAGCATCATTTCATACCACTCTGCTCCGTATCGCCAATCAATTTCAAGATGCTTTGCGAGAAAGCTTGCAACATTCTGGCGAGCGCGGTTGGAGGTGTAACCTGTGTGAAAAAGCTCACGTTGAGAGGCATCGATGAGACCCATTCCAGTTGTACCCTGCAGAAATCTCTCTATGATGTGAGAGACTCTCTCCGGCGATGGGTCTTGGTCGGCAGAAGCATGCTCTGCGTTCCCAGTCTTCCATGTCCTCTTGTATGAAGTTTCTCGAAGTCCTGCGAGTCGGAAGAGCCTGCGCCCAAACTTTTGAGTGCAGAGCCTCATGTAGTCTCGCCATAGAAGCTCGAATCGCACAGCTCGCGTGCCATCATTCTCTCCTTCGCCGTACCCAGTCGCCATCACGTACTTGGAAGATGTGCCATCTTCGAACCTCACAAGCTCGTGGTGGATTTGTCTTGCTGTCAAACTTCCATTTGACAAGTACGCTGACAATTTGGTACTAAAGTCGGGGCCAATCAATCCGTTGCGGGTGGATTTGTATGCTGCCATGGCACCAGTCTTGATGAGATACTCAAGACGTCGCCATGCCTCTGTCTCACCACCGGTGAAAGGGTGAGCGGACTGTGCTCCCTCTGGAAATGGGGGCTGGTCGTGAAACATTGTAGCGATGGGAGAAACCAATCTTGACTCGAGTTCGGCCAAAGATTCAGCGACCACAAAGGGGGGGAATTGAGGCGGAACTGCGTGGGCGTCCAGGAACGGCGGGAGTGTCGACTTTCTGGGCTTGGGCAACGTGGAACGAGGCCGATCACGTAGCGGCTCTTGAGATTTTCGGTAAGTGGTGAATACATCTGGAAGATCTCGAGGATGTGCCAGGCCCGTGTCACGACTTGGAAAGAAAGATAGTTAGTTTTCCCGTTGTGGATTGCAAAGTACTGTGAGGATAGAACCTACTCATCAACGAAGTACTTCTCATCGGGCCAAAGACGGAAGCCAACACCATGATCAGAACAAACCGCAGAGACGGTTTCTTGCTCTTCAATCTCTTCAGAGGAATGCTCTTCAGTCATCCAAACGGCGGAGACGTGAACACCGGACTTTGTAAGGGATTTGATAGTGGAATCCAAGACATCTTGGAAGCTTCCAACCCGTATAAGGAGACCGCTATCGAGACTTTCGAGTGATTGCTTCACATCCCAGACCGACTGAGCGAGGAAGCGAGCTCGATGTGGGCCGCACCTCCAAAAATTGCCTACTTGACTGCGAGCCTCTGGATAGGGAGATTTGATACCTTCGGGCAGGAAGCCCGACACCTCGATCTGCTTAGAGGGGAAGACGAAAACAGGGAGGAGATGGGTGAAATTGTGCTCCTTGGATGTTGCAAGTCGATGAAGAATCGGATTGTCAGAGACTCTGAGGTCTCGTCTCATGAGGTAGATGAGTAGATTGTTTCGAGCCATAGTCAAAGGTAGCCGGCAGAACAATTGGAATGAAGCAAACTGTTGACGCTAAAATGGTCGAGGGTACTTATGTGCTTCTTGAGTGGAATGCCGCAGGGATGTCGAGGATTTATTCTTGAGTGTTGCGGATAGCCTAGGAAGATTAACTTTGGACTATCTCTGTAGTATCCGGAGGCACAAATAAGAGCGGCACCGAGGGATAGAAGTAGGATTCCACTCCTCGAGAGAAATTTCCGGTTGGCAGTAGTCTTTTCTTTTTGGCAAATAATGCTTGAAGTAAAGAGAAAACTGTTTCGCCCAGCGACTGGGGGCAAATGCACCAGCAGCCAGGGTGCCTTATGGATAGAAGGTGAGGCGAACAGACTGATCGTCCAACGGCCAGGGTGCCTCGAGTGAGTATGCGTTCAATCAAGTTTGGAGTTTGGAGGGCGAGATCGGGCAGCCAAAAAGGATGGCGTACCTAATTATGATGTCGGGGTTGCTTCGATCTCGAGCCTTAAAAGACTGGCTGGGAATCGACGAGCACCAACACGGAGGCAAACCACTTGCCTACGTCCTTACATCATGTGACTTCACTCGCGGCATGTAGAGAAGACCTGGTACCTGCACGGTGAGGCCCAGCTGGAGAGCGTTTCGAAGCGTGGTTTGAGTAAAATAAGCCATGGTGAAATTGTCGCGGCTCGATCTTTTGAGCTGTTTTCCCCTGGGGGGTAGACGGATCCATGGCCACGACGTTGCAACGGTCAATTCGCGAGACGATCCCGGTAAGCGAAGTATCTTGAACCCGACAGGCGTGATCCACTTGGAACGGGGAGAAAACTAGCTGGGTTGGGAGGCAGCTAGGCAGAGAATGCTCGGGGGGGAGGTGCGTTCCATGTCTGAATGGTGTTGAGGGTGAGTGGTGAATATAAGGCCGATGGTGAGGACCCTTGACATGGGTCATGGAGATCGGACCATCCAGATAGGCTTAAAGCAATCGGAGTGGGGCAGCTGCATAGGGCCCTGCATGATGGCTGCCAGAGCAATCTCACACTAACCCACTTGTTCCCGTCGACTAATATCCTGGATGATGCTGTATCAGGATGGAAATATGGTGATTAGGTACCTCGCTTCTGCACGGGGACAAGGGCGGATGGGCGACTACCGGCCGGCCGAGTGCTGGGCCTGTCCTGTCCTGTCCAGGGACATTCCATTGCAATGGATGTCTACTCTAGTGCATCTGGCAGCCTGAAAGCGGTACCTGAAAGTTTTGCTCCGTCTCCGTCTCCGGCTCCGACATGTGGGTGGCTCGTCCATGGGTACATAAGCCGCAAGCAGTCGATCGGAGAGGAGATGTGCTAAATTGATGCATCGGCGCTATCTACTTGGCTTTGCATTCCCAGGCTACTACGCTGCTTGGCATTCATTGTCATATGGAGGCTTCCAGAGGCACTGCAGGCGATTCTGCGGTGGGCTACAAGGCTTGCATATTCGCCGTGGTGTTGCGTACCCCTCCCTGCCTGGTCTTGTTTTCTCAGCTGCGACCTTATCCTATTACGTAGCGACCATCCGGCGTGTGCTGCCAGACGAGGCGCCTCATCTTTATCTGGCCACCGACAGAAGAAAGGCGGGAGGCTAAACAATTCTCCTCGATCGGAAGGTTTGGTACCCAGGCACTGTGTAACCCTGGAGTATGTGGCGATATTATCATGTTCACCCTGCGTCATCATGAGCGATCCGGACTGGGCTAGAAAACGAAAGAAGCATTCGGTCAAAGAATAGCCAGCATGAGCTAAAATGTGCACACCTGAATATGCAATCCAAGACATGTACATGGAAGTGGGCGTCGCCTAACTTGCATATGTATGTGGCGGCGGTCTACTATTGACTCCTTACATGCATCGGCACTGAATGGAGGCTGTGTTGCTTTCGCGTAGCCACTGTCCGCTAGCGGAGCTGTCTCTGAGCTACGGGTCACAAACAGGGTCCCCTCGAAATCAATCTTACCCTCCATCTTCCCCCGCACTGTGCTTCTAGTCTCATCTCAGAGCTTGGAAAATTGCTTAGCTGTGCCCCGTCTGAATAGCCCATAGCCGACCTGATGTGCCATGGGCCGGAGAATATGTAATGCTGCATTGGGTCAATCAGTATAAATCATCTTATTTTGAGCCGCAACGTAAGTTGCATGTATTAGTGGATATCTGGTGGTCCGTAGATGGGAACAAGATCCAGGAACACCTTGGCACAATATCACGGTGATACAGCTTGGAAGGGGTTGAGGGGGAAGCTGCCGAGGGAAATACGTTCGAGCCAAGGGAATCCCTCAATGTTGGTGTGTTTGTATTACCTGACCTGCGTGACTGCATAGGTGGCTTGAGAATAGGCATAACATACATGGCGGTCTGCAATCGTTACGCATCCAGTGGGTGGATGCTGTGCGGATGTGGGAAGCGGATGCTGTGCCAACGTACAGCTTACTACCTACCTACCTAAGGGAGTTTGCACGTATGTGCGAGGGGGACAGAACCACGAATAGATAAGCTGATAACCCACTTGGCAAGGCTGGAGCTGCAAGCGAAATTTTAGAGAGCAGGTAGAAATGGGCAGCCGGAAACAGGTTGCAGAGAGGGATATCCATTGACAATAAGGTAGGTCGCTAAGTACTAGGCAGGTGAGGTTGAGATGGATATAAGACCAAGCTCTCGTCTACCGATCTGCCGTTCGGAGAACGAGCGTGTCGGCCGATGCGTGGCTTCATGTATGCCCATTCTCCTCTCACAATCTCTCCTCGGTAGAAACGGTAGAGACGGTAGAGACGGAGACGGTCGAAGGGTTGAGCTGCGACCGAGCTTGTGGTGGCTATTGCTGGGTGTCTGAGGTTGGAGCTCGGCTTAACCGAGGATAGTGGGTTTGGGGAGCGGCATGCGGCGGCAAAGCATATCCCTGGCAATTGGTGTGCCCCCAGACCTTCAACCCCAGATAAAGTCAAATGCCCATCGATTTATTATCACAAGCATCCCTCGGCCTCCCTTAACTTCTTCTCTGGACGTTGGAGCTGTCTTTCCTGCAATTGCCATCTCCTCCCTCAATTGCCCGTCCTCGTCCTGCGGCCCATTGAGCCATGTCTGCCGTCAATCGCAGCTTGCGCACAGCCTCCAAGCAGCTGCGTGTCCAGCCCAGGAGCTTGCTGCGACCAGCCTGCACCCCCTCCGTAGTCGCTCGCGCTGCCGCCTCCGTCAGCATCTCCGCGACTCCATCATCACGAACTAACTTTTCCACGTCAGCCCTCAGAGCCTCTGCAGCACCCGCCATGGCTTCCGCTCCCCGCGAGTACGATCCTGAGATCAAGGACATTGCCGACTACGTCGCGAACAAAACCATCGACTCTGAGCTTGCTGTATGTTTAGGCCTTCCTCCACAATTTTTTTTTTTGGTGAGCCGGGGCTACCCCGCGCTGGCTCACCCAACCTCGGGACAGCTATGATTGCGTTATGAATTTTTTGATTTCTATCCCAAATAATTCTTGCGTCTCATTGTGTCAATTCATTGGAACTGCCTTCTAATTGCCATTGTTTAGTTCGACACCGCTCGATGGATTCTTTTGGATACCCTGGGCTGTGGTCTCGAGGGACTGCGCTTCAAGGAGTGCTCTAAGCTTCTTGGGCCCATTGTCCCCGGCACCATCGTTCCCAATGGACCCAAGGTCCCAGGAACTCCCTTCCAGCTCGACCCAGTCAACGCAGCTTTTAACATTGGCGCCATGATCCGATGGCTTGACTTCAATGACTGCTGGCTTGCCGCCGAGTGGGGCCACCCCTCAGACAACCTGGGTGCTATCTTGGCCGTCGCCGACTGGGTCAACCGAACCAACAAGGCCGGTGGTAACCTCGCTGGTGGCAAGATCTTCAACATCAAGGATGTGCTTGAGGCCATGATCAAGGCCCACGAGATTCAGGGTTGCCTGGCCCTCCTCAACTCCTACAACCGTGTTGGTCTCGATCACGTCGTCCTCGTCAAGGTTGCCAGCACTGCTGTTGTCTCCAAGATGCTTGGCCTCGGTGAGAAGCAGATTGCCGATGCTGTCACCCAGGCCTGGGTTGACGGCCAGAGCTTGCGGACATACCGTCACTCTCCCAACACCATGTCGCGAAAGTCATGGGCCGCAGGTGATGCTTGCCAGCGTGCTGTCAACCTGGCCCTCAAGGTCCTGAAGGGCGAGCAAGGTGTCCCAACTGTCCTGTCTGCCCCTACCTGGGGTTTCTACGATGTCCTGTTCAAGGGAAAGAAGTTTGAGTTCCAGCGCCCCTACGGCAGCTACGTCATGGAGAACGTTCTCTTCAAGGTGTCCTACCCTGGTAAGCTAGCCCCTACATTACACTACATATATTCTTTCCATACTGACCATTTCCCAGCCGAGTTCCACTCCCAAACCGCCGTTGAAGCCTCAGAGAAGATCCACCATTTGCTCAAGAGCCAGGGTAAATCTGCCGCTGATATCAAGGCCATCACCTGTCGAACACACGAGGCTTGCATCCGCATCATCGACAAGCAGTTCAAGCCCATGGACAACTTTGCCGACCGTGACCACTGCATTCAGTACATGTGCGCCACCATGCTGGTCTTCGGTCGCCTGGAAGCTACCGACTACACCGATGGTGGCGAGGCTGCCACGTCGGAGCTCGTCGAGTCTCTGCGCCAGAAGATCAAGTGCGTCGAGGACCCCCAGTACACCAAGGACTACCATGACCCCGCCCTGCGCACAATCTCCAATGCTCTCACTGTTGAGCTCAATGACGGTACAATCCTCGATGAGGTTGCTGTTGAGGCTCCTCTGGGCCACCGCCTGCGCCGCGAGGAGGCCAAGCCTGTCATCTTGGAGAAGTACAAGCGTCACTTGGCCCCCCATCTGCCTGAGGCCAGAGTGAAGGAGCTCGTCGAGCTTGGATTGGACGGCAAGAAGCTCGAGAGCATCTCCGTTGATGAATATGTTGACCTCTACACCGTCAAGGAGAGCAAGTTTGTCCAGTGAAAAATCAAAAACGAAAATACCGCAGAATACCTAGACCTTAGATCCAATTTTTTGGGAAAATGAATATACTGAAAAGATATGACTAAAATCCTGGCAAAGGCATCCATTATCATGAGAGGCCCTCAAACCATAACAAATCTATCATGGCTAAACAATTGTGATGCTGGTACATCTATCTGGCTACGCCTCCAAGCCAGTCGGCTAGTTGCTCTAGAGAATGCACCCGAACAACTGGATGCTTCTCGAAAAGGTCATCTATCCCTGCCGCCACATTGTCTTCCAGCCTGGGAATCCTTTCATCTGATTCATTTTCGACATCGAGAAGCACTGGGTTCCATTCGGCGTTTTGAGCCCCCACTACATCCTTGACATACTCATCGCCGACATAAATCTTTCTCCAGGCACCAATTTGGGCTAGGAAATCACTGGGACTTGCCTTTTCTCGAGCGGTGATAATTTGTGCAAGCATGAGCTCGGCCGCTCTGAATATAAGACCATCGGGCTTCTCAACGCCAATGTCGTAGGAGATGCAGTGGAAATCAATGTCATTGGGAGGCTCCGGGTCCATTTTTGAAGGCCAGGTTGGATCAACCTCCGTGCCGTAACGCAGGGGACTGACTTTGACATTGAACGATGAGAGGATGTCGGGCACGCGGTCATCTGAATTGGTGATGACACCAATGACGATCTTTTCGAACAGCCGACGGGTGTCGTCGCCGCGGAGAGTTTTGAACATGGCAGTGAGGTGCGCTTGAGCTTCGTATCCTTCCTTTGAGGAGAATCGATGGAGGAGTTTTGGCGCAAGGTCCTGGGGGAGGCTCTGGCCTTTTGGTATCATTGGCGTGAATGCGTTTTCAATTACCTGCGGACCGATGTATATTAACCCAAGTTCAGTTAGGATGAGTAGATTATGGGTTGGAATTGGGGAGGCATACATTCGTCCACCACCTGGTTGCACCTAGACCGGTAGCTTTTCCATAGTTGGGATTTTGCTTCATCTCGGCCTTGAGAGCCGTCCCCAGATGCGGCTGCAGCTCTTTCTCTGTGATGTTGGCCATGCCGCATTGCCGCGCAATTTGAGCGTATTGCTGGGCAACAGAGCCCTTGGGCTTGAACAACGTGCCGAAAGCGTCGAAACATAACAATAGATTTGGCTTTGGCATGCTGAAAGGTTCTCCCTGTTGTGGATGATGAAAGTGGTTGCGTAGCGAGTCACCGCTCCGTTGGTGGTGAGAGGCCGGCGACAGCGGCCCGGGAACAACAGGGCCAGGATGGTTCAAGGTACGATATAATCCTAGCAACTGGCTTCCAAAGTACTATCGATTGGTGTTTGATGCCTGATAGCGAAAGGGTATAGGGCCTTGGATATGATCCCAAGGCTGGCTGTTCATTGGTTTAAGGGGAAGGACACAGAAAGATCTACATGAGGATTGGCTTCGCCCATAATTTGTCTCCTGGCCTGGCCTACTGAGGGGAGGGGTTTCTTTCGGCATAATTGATCGGTGGCAGTTCCTTGGTATCGGGCATCGAAATGAATAAACTTCTTCGAACGGAAAGCATCATTTTGAAACCTACATTAACATCGTTCACCAATGCGCCATGATTTATCGAGAGTCAAGTCATATGCCCTTCAAGAAAATGAATGCCCTTAGTCAGGCCGCGTAAGGCGCTCCACCCAGCCAGGTACCTAGTACAATTACAATTACCAAGAATACGATCCTCTGATTCGTATCTTTACTCAGGGAAGAGGAGTTGTGACTCTCATAGTACAGACAGTCAAACCTTTCATGAAACGATATCTGTAGAGGATGATTGAATGATCCGTGTTCCAGGCTCCCGACTTGATGAGCATGGAACTTACCTAAATGCCACATCGTCGGCAGTGCCACACCGCCCCACTGTTTGTCGCGGGTCATGCACAAGAGTGGGACGACACTTGCTGCGCCCCGCCATCAGACTTGCACCCTGGCATCGCCTCCTCACAATCCGTTTCCATCTTAACGGCGAATTTCAAATCCACGTCCTCGTTCAGCGCATCCTCCTCTGATCTGCGACTGTTTACATCCAACGAGCCCTACCAGTGTCTGCAATTTATTTCGAATTTATCCGCCAAGATGGCTTCCGACCGCCAGACCATCATGGAGGCTAACAAGTCCCTCCGCAACATCAAGAACGTACGAACGCTCTAGTCGCCCCTATCTCATGACCCAGTAGCTGACGATTACAGGAACTCGAAAACCTTCTGGAGAAGGGAGTCATTGACGAATCCGTTTACGATACCATCCACTCCGCCCTTCCCCAGGAGTCGCCTCTCTCCGGACCTCTTCGCACGACTTCTTCGAACAGCGTCAACACCGCAAGTTCCGCACGCGCCACTCCCCAGAACAACCATACGCCTCTGCCCCCCTCTTACGAGGATACTCCTCCTCCCAGTCTTCCTGTCCGCAACGCGAAGCCCGTCGTTGCCCATGCCCGGGCTCTGTACCGCTACGTCGGCCCCGACGACCGCGATCTCGCCTTTGAGCGGGACGACAAGATCCTCGTGCACGAATACATGAACGACGACTGGTGGATGGGCCAGAACAAGCGCACCGGCCTCGAGGGCATCTTCCCGCGCAACTACGTGCTGGTGGAGCACGAGGAGAAGGCTCCCGCCCCCCAGCAGCCCGCCTACGGATATCCCCAGCAGAAGGGTGGCCCCCCTTCGCAGCAGAACCCATACAACGCAAACGTGCCGCCTATGGCTGTTGCCGATGGGAACAATGGCAATGACCAGGAAAAGGACGAGAAGTCGGAGAAGTATCAGGAGTACGGCAAGAAGTTTGGCAAGAAGCTGGGTAATGCCGCTATCTTCGGCGCTGGTGCCACAATTGGTGGAAAGATTGTGAACGGTATCTTTTAGAGGTGCCTGGTTTGGCTAGATTGAAGGCTTTGTCTGATTTTCAAGCGGCGTTCTGGGAGTTGCATCATACGAGAACATTATGGCTTTGGAGAATATTCTTATCCTGCCGAGTTCATCTCGCTCTTTTGCTTAGGAACCTAATATTTCATCACCTGAGGTTTGCCAACTTGTTGGTTTTGGATCTTTGCTATAATGATATCCAATGTGTTGGGCACAGCGTGCCGTCAATCAAGATATTGCATATGAGTCTACTGAAGAGGCGATTTGTTACCTATGTATCCCCGCGGCTCTATGTTGAGACGAGCTGGTTTTCTGTGGAAATGGGAATCGCAAGGCTATGTCGCAGGTATTTGCATATAAAAGACAAAAAATCTTGCTTTAGAATGTCAATTTATCTACTTTTCAACATTCAACATTCATCTTGAAGCATTAGTACGGTGTGAGCCACGAGGGAGACCCTTTGCAGGGATTAGAAATAATACCAGCGCCGTCGGGTTTCTAAATTAGGCAATGCGCTAACCGGAAGGGACAAACATTTTTTTTCTGTACTGGCCGATTTCACTTCACTTTCATCATCTTAGAGATTTGTTTGACATCTCTGCAGCCTGTATTTCAAGATGTCAAACACCAAAAAACGTGCGGCGGACGCCAACCCCCCGGCCAAGAAGGCGAAGAAGAGAAAGGGAAATTTTGAGAATAATGAGTCGTTAGATGCTGAGTTGGGAATCAATACTCTCTTCTCGCGCATGGATAGCCAGCTCCTGGCGGATCACATCGCTCAGAAAACGACCCGGTTCGGGACAGAATTGAGTCCCGTTGAACTCTCGGACATCTCAATCTCAGGTACTTTCAAGAAAGATCTCATTGCTGGAACATTGCTGACAAAGTCTCCAGCTGGATCCATTACAGATACCAGTTCATGGCAGGAGCAGCGGATTCTGACCAACCTTCCAGACTTTCTGGAGCAATTTTCAGAGGACAAGGAAGGTCTAAGTCGCTCGTCGAAAAAGCCCGGATCGCCTCACACTCTCATTGTTGCAGGAGCTGGTCTGAGGGCTGCTGACATTGTGCGGTAAGTGCGGCCCTGTGGGCGAGGAATTCTCGCCTGCGGCCTTCCGCCCTCCACATCATTTAGAGGACCCAACCTGCCGGATAAGTTCGTTACTGACAAGAAGGAAAGTGCTGTGCGTAAGTTCCAAACCAAGAACTGTGCAGTCGCCAAACTGGTAAGTTTCCCGAGCCACTAGCTCTTTCTTTGCGATCGTGCTGACCTGGTCGCTCTTCACCGTCTCAGTTTGCGAAGCACATGAAGATCGAGGAGCAGATTACCTACCTCAAGAGCAAGAAGACGGGAATCGCTGTTGGCACGCCGGCGAGGCTGGCGGATTTGATTGACAATGGTATGGATTAAATTGACTGACAATTCTGTTTCTTAAAATCTGCCTACTAACATGTATGTAAGGTGCGCTCTCATTGGAGAATTTGGAACGTCTGGTCGTTGATGCATCGCATATTGACCAAAAGAAGAGAGGCGTTATGGACATGAAGGACACTATGATGCCGCTTGCTCGCTTCTTAGCGAGGAAGGAGTTCAAGGAGAAGTACGCAGCCGAGGAGAAGCCACTTGCTTTACTATTTTATTAGATACCCGCAAAGGGCAAGAATACACACACATGCCTCTTTCCCATTTCCCCTGGCCTGCTTCGCAAGTAGTCATTCCAAATCCCTCCCCTCAAGATTCTTTTGTTTTTCTTCTTCTTCCATCTTCCCATAATCACCATTGCATCAACACACTACCCTTAACTCAGCCATAGGCTCTTTTTTTGGGACTCCATTGTCAAGACCATTTTTGGATCACATTCCATTACACTCATCTGCCTAGTTGCAATTGTTGTTCAATCCCTTGATAAACATCATCCCAACCTACTTTGTTCCAAATCATTGAACTTCATAAAGAAACAATGAGGGTAAATATCTTCAAGACGTTGTTACCATTTCTCTTAGCTCCAGGCGGGCACACTCATGGTACCCAGGTTGACGCTGGTAAGTCCCCCAACACCCGCATCTCGTTCTTGGCTAAGGCGATTAGCTTGTGCTTTGGACTGCTCCCACCGTCTCGTCAACACTTCCGATACGGTCGACTGGAGCGCTCTCTGCTCAGATCAGCTTAAACAACATGTTAGTTTCCTGCCCATTACGTATCCAGAATGGACGCATACTAATGCAACCACTCCTGTTTTAGTCTCTATTTCAGTGTCTGGTGCTCTCCTGCACTTCTGATTCCTACAGCAATGCCTTGACCTCAGTGGTTACATCTTGCCTCGAAAGCGGTGCAGTTATCGCGCCACTACATCCTGTCCAATTCGTGAACCCAGCTCTATATGCTCGCCAATTTACCACCAGTGTTGTGCAAGGCCCCGGTTTGTATGGACCCGAGGTTGGAGGCGACGGAAAAGGGCAATCTGGCTCTCCAAATAGCCCTTCAGTTCCTCTTAACTGTGAAGCTGGCTCGGATAGAATCTTGACACTCTCACTCCCCGGACCTACTTCGAATCCGTCGCAGTCAAGCCCCGGTGCTGCCAGCCGACCCCAAACTCAGAATCCCAACCAAGGTTCTCAGAGCGGCCAGCCACAGGATCCTTCACCTATTGGTAAGGGTGATGCTTCAAACCCAACTTGTACGGGCAACCTGAATGATTGCAATACTGCTGGCAATCGACCCTCATCTAATGGATCGGGGAACTACCCCGACACTTCTCAGCCTGGTGGAAGTCCCTCGCCATCACCAAATAAAGGGCCCAACACTTCTTCGGGAGACCAAAATGCTCAACAGCCTCAGAACGGCCAGGGTAGTGATACCCCTTCACCGTCACCCAGCGCCTCTGATGCCTCAAACTCAAACCAGTCTGCTCAACCACCATTATCAGACGGGCAACTGGGCGCTCAGCCGAGCCGAAACCCACAAGGCTCCCCGCCTTCGTCACAAAACACTGACGGGTCTGGTGGAATCCCATGTCCCCAGGCCCAAAGCAACCCAGGTCCAGGACAAGATTCATCACCTCCTACCAACTCAAACACAAACAATGGAGCCCCTAGTAGCCCGCCAAACCAAGCACCATCAACCCCAAATAGCCAATCTCCCAATTTTCCACAAGGGCCTTCAAAGCCTAACCCTGGATACGGAACAACAGGTGGACAGTCGCCTGCTGGACCTCCTTCAAACCCTGGAAACAATAACGGCTGCGCTGGTAATCAGGGCAATTCTGGTCCCAGCGCTCCTGCTGGATCGCCCACTCGGCCTACCAATCCGGGGCCGGAGGGTTGCCACGACGCCGGTTCACCAGGACCTTCAGGTAATGACTCCCCTGGGCAACCCTCAGCATCTAGCCCTCTTCTCGACCCGAATGGTGGAGGTATTCCTTGCCCCAACAATGATCAAGGTCCTAACAACGGCAACTTTCCTGGACCTGGGTCTGATCCAATGGCTGGGCCTGGTGCCGGAGACTCGCCAGAAATTATCGTGACTGTTCAAATCCCTGCGCCTTCAGGAAACCCAGAGGCTGGTCCGCCTAGAAACTCTCCGAGTAATGGAGGTGTTGGTCCGGGCGGACCTGCCCCATCTCCAAGTAAAGGCAGCCAGCCGCTTCCTTCACCAAGCTCTGGACCATCTTCAAGTCCAGAAAGCACGAACAGAGCTGATCCAAACACCCCCAATTCCCCAGACAATGGAGAGTTTCCTTGTGATGATGACAGTGCTGCTTCTGGTCCTTCCGGGCCTGGAAATGGAGCAAACAATGGCGGTGCTGGAACACCAGCTTCTGATTTTACCCTTTGGCCACTTCCCACTGCCCCGCCAACTGTTCCTGGCTCAGCCGTGAACTCTGGACCCAACATCCCACCTCAGACAGATATCACGTTCAAAAAGTCGGGCCCAGCGAGTATGACCGTCTCAGGCGCCCCTGCAAATTCGCCCGAGATCACTCTTTGGCCCCGCCCGACAGCAAATGCACCCACAGCCGCGCCTGCAAACGCAAATGGCAACCAAGAAACCATCGTCTTACACATTCCATTGCCTGGTCATATCGTTCAAGGTGATAGCCCAACTGGGATTAAGACGCTCGATCCGACCATGACGAAGGATCTCTCCTCGGGCAGCCCAGTTGCCCCAGAACTTGTCAGTGCACCGAGCTATGTGATTAGGAATAAGAGGGGCCTGGTAGCAAGAGAAACAAACGAAGGTATCCCAAATCCTTCCCAAAGCTTCTTCCGATCAGAGAACCACACGGCGTCAACGACCTTGGCCACATATACCGGTGCTGCAGGAAGATCGTTTGCTTTAAGCACCTTCATATGTACATGCTATGGGGTGTTTGCATTTGGGGTTCTGTTATGGGCCTTCAATTAATTTGACCGATACAGCTGGGTATTCCAGGGTGGGAAATGAGAGAAGTGAATATATGTTATATCAGTGGGATTAACAATGTTGCAAGGAAGAGAGTATAGGCATGGCATCACTAAATCATGATGGATTATCTATTTGATAGGGCACTTACTTCAATAACTTAAAAAAGACCACCAATGGAATGCACTGATACATACTAATGTTCCTCGGCCCCAAATTGTAAATGATAGCATAGAGAGCCAAGCCAAAGATTAAAACTTCTAAGTGTATCCGAATCAATTCGTTTACAAAACAATTATAGAGGCCCCATTTCAATATCGTTGTTCCCCTGAGTGAAAGTTGGCATCGGCACAAGGCGGGAGGTAGCAAGCCCTTGATGAAAGTTGAGGACTGAGGGAAGTTTGCAAGCCCCACCCCCGCATGAAGGTAGATGCAACAACGGACCCTGTTTTTTTTTTCTGTCTGGGATCACTCAACTTTTCTTCTTGCAAGTTTTCATACAGCACTCAATTTTTTAGACGCGGACAAATTGCTTCCCACCCCAAAAAGGAAGCAGGCCGCAAGATCCTCGACGAACTTTATTTCGATCAATTTGTCATTAATTTTCTTTCAAGATTAGTCTCCCCGATATTGCATATCTCACGTCCTCAGATTCCATACAAAATGAAGAGCAAACGTGCGCGCGAGGCCACCGAGGGAGAAGCTCCGGCTCGAGAAGAGCTACCCGAGGGCCCTGCCAAGAAGCGCAAGAGAGACAGCGAAGACGCATCGACGGGGAAGAAGAGCAAAAAGGACAAGAAGCACAAGCAGGAGAGCAGAAAGGAGCGCAAGGACAAGCGCAAGGACCTGATTGACCTGCCCGAGGAGGAGCCCGAAGAAGAGGGGGAGGATGTGCTCCCGGCGGAGGCCGATGCCAAGCCTGAGGCGACGGCGGGCGAACAGACTGCGGAGGCTAAGGAGGTGAAGGAAAAGAAGGACAAGAAGGAGAAGAAAGACAAGAAAGACAAGAAGGAGAAGAAGGCGAAGGGCGAGTCAAACGGGCAGCCCGCCGACGAGACAACGGAAGCCGCCGACGGCGAGAACCCCAACAACATCGAGGTCGACGCGAACAAGAAGGCGGACCGGCACATCGTCTTCGTGGGCAACCTGCCCTTCAGCGCCACCGTCGCTACCATCACGGCGCACTTCGCGTCGCTGTCGCCCATCTCCGTACGCTGCCTGAAGAACAAGGGCGACGACAAGCCGTGCCGCGGCATCGCCTTCGTCGAGTTCGGCAAGGTCTGGCACATGCGGACGTGCCTGGACAAGTTCCACCACTCCATGTTCGAGGACGGCGTTTCCCCCGCCAGGAGGATCAACGTTGAACTGACGTAAGTTTTCTCTTCCCTCTTCTTTATATCGAGTCCCCCCTTTCCCTCGCCCCTCTCTCCATCACAGGGAAGGAAGAACAATCTCGGCTGACAGATGACAGCGCTGGCGGCGGCGGGAAGAACAAGAACAGACACGACAAGATCCGCGAGAAGAACCTGAAGCTCGACGAGAACCGGAGCAAGCGCATTGAGAAGGAGAAGGTCGCCAAGGAGGAGAACAGACAGTCAGGAGACCATAATATGGAGGATGCAATCCACCCAAGTCGCCGGGCCAGAGTTCCTGATAACAGATGGTAATCCAGCCCTGCCACCGGGCACCACATAATACGCTGTACTACAATCTACAAGCCGCTACTGAAGTTTTCCCGACTGCTGTTTTGGAATAGACTGTTATTGGAATAGAGGACAAGGGCGTTCATCATTTGGCTGAACATTTGAAATTGACTATTTCTCCAAAAGTTTCCCAACAATGACCGTAACAATCCCAATCTTCCAGGACTAAAAACATACCCTTTTCACGTAATTAATGCAGTTTGACCCGGGATAGGAGCGAAATTTAAGATAGCTAGTATCCATGATCTATTTACAGCCAAAAACTGGGGATATCCTCGGGATAGCGTGATTCAGGAGAAAAAAGGTGAGAATGAAGATGCAAAATAGAAAACCATTTGCCAGACGCCAACCAGCAAGTCCATCTCAGGCACTGCCAGAAATCTTGAGGGGTAAAAATGGGGGATAAATAAGCGAGTGGGAAGGACGAGCCAATCCATCTAGGACCATTGAAGCAAAATCACCATCCATCCTGATCAAATAATCTTCATAAGGTGTTCTCGGAGTTTTTGTTGACAACAATGGCAACAGGGATATAAGTCGTCGAATACGCGGCAGAGTTAACATTATGGGCGGGGCGAGCGTCAAACATGCCGGTCGTTTCGTGCTTGCAAAAATTAAAAAGCTGTGTCGCCATTACCCGCCAGTGGTCTAATAATTGGGAATATTCGGTGGAGGCCGAACTTGAAAAATTTCGTGCGATATATGGCTGCAGGAGCGTGGCAGAAAGCTGATGCGTAAATCGCTGATAATTCGACTCTCTTATCTCATTTTGGTGGTTTCGGACGACGGCTGTTCTATGTCTTAAATCTAGGTGCCAGCCATGATTTACAAGATGGAGCACTTGGATCGCTTCTTGCTGGAAACAGTGGGTTTGGGGTTGAGAACGGCGCTGTGGTATCGCTAGTTAGCAAAACTTCACTTTCCAGGACAGCTGTGATTTGGTGAGTGGTCATACCGGATGGCCTCATCAAAAACGCTCTTCAGATTTCGCTGAGTGAGGGCTGAGCATTCAAGGTACTTGTACGCCCTGATCTCCTTTGCGCAGTTTAGGGCTTGTTCGTACGTGACAGGCTCCATTCGCTTCTGGCGGAGAGACTCGAGGGTGGCAGGATCTTCTCTCAGATCGAGCTTGGTACCGACAAGAATGATGGGGGTGTTGGGGGCATGGTGGCCGATCTCAGGGTGCCACTAGACGACCAAATTAATTTCTGCAACAAATCGGCGCGAGGCGTTCGTTCCGTACCTTGGCCTTGACGTTGTCAAACGAAGGCGGGCTCACGATGGAGAAGCAGATGAGGAAGACGTCGGTCTGAGGGTAGGACAGAGGCCGTAGTCGATCGTAATCTTCCTGACCGGCAGTATCCCAGAGTCCAAGGCTGATGGGCTTGCCATCAACCATCACACTGGCCGAGTAATTATCGAAACTTTGATGGCAGGTGTCAGCAAAATGGGTTGGCGTTCGTTCACCAGTCGGAGGAGGATGCGACCAACACTGTGGGGATGTATTCGCCTGGGAAGGCATTCGTGGTATAGGAAATGAGCAAACATGTCTTGCTGGAGTCAGTACCGCGTGTCGGCTTGGAATTGGTTATCGTGGGCTGCGCACCTTGCCAACTGCACCGTCACCGGTCACTACACACTGCAACGGCGGTCAGCAAAACAATACTTTGTCGTGGTGGTTCAAAGTGCGCTAAGGCCGACTTACCTTCAAAGATTGAACACCTGGCTGGGCCATTTCGCTATAGATTTGTGCAACGTATTATTGCCAAGTGGAAGCTTTAATATGGGTGCAGGAAATGAGGACGGTTGTTATAAGGAAGCAGCTGGGACGGATGATTGACAGCAAAGTGTTTGGGGCGGGTGGGGAGTATTATTCCGCGCGTCACAGCGACTGTGGACGGAGTTCTTAGGATGGCGATTTAATGCGCGTGGGAAAGCGGGACCGTGGATAAGAAGCGGGCGATGCAATCGACGGATCACGGAGGAGGGAGGCGGGAGGGCTGTTTGCGACGGTCAGGGTCTAAGTCTAAGGAACTCTGGCACTCAGTGTCGAACCTGGCTTCAGTGAAGGCTGGATCGAGCAGAGGAGAGGAGGTGAGGTGAAGCTCAGCAGGTAGGTTAGATAAAGCAGTACAGGGGTTGATTGGTAGATGCACAGCAAGTGGGAAAGTTGGTACGGCGCCATCCAAGGCAAGGTACCTGCTTCAAGCGAGTACCTGGAAGGGCGATTCGCTCCAGGCATTTGCGCAGGCGGGTTGTGGCCAGCCCTGGTACACTGGAAGTATCCCGGCCGTACTCCCAGCTGGACATTGGCGGGGCCTTGTTTTTCTCGAATAAATAGCGTGGGAGGTTTGTCCAGGCAGGCGGGGAGCTAGCCGCTAAGAGAAAGCGCCCAGCGAGCGGCCTAGGGAACTGGAAAGCGGTGCGACAACCAGGCCGTCAGTTGCTCCTAGCCCACGCTAATTTGACACGACGTTCTCATGCGCCGGGTGATGGTCACAACAGGCAGGCCAGCAGCTGCCAGGGAGGACTTGCTCCTCTCGCCTGGTTGGGTCTACGGGCTCTCTCCTCAGAGCAGGCATAAGGGCAGGGCAAGGCTGGCCAGCTGAGTCCCGGTAGAGGGGGAGGAGTGCTCAGCGCATCAGCCTTAATTCACCGTACATTTAGGTGAGAGGAGCCGAGTTCCCCAAGTGTCTATTATTATCCATGCTCAGGCCTTAAGGCGCTCCACGACCCCTCCTGTGGGAAGCGGCAGGGCAGTGCGCTGTGCTATGGCATTTATTTATTGCGTCTCCCCAATCCTCGCGCTTGCCACAGTCATAAATGGCAGCGGGAAGAGCTGCGGGTGAGATGCGTGAGATGGAATCCAACGAGATATAGGTACATGGGAGAAACTTGGTGAGACATGACCACATCCCCAGTGACGAGATCCTGCTGCCACCAGCCATTGGAGCCCACCCCTCCCTCCCTTTACCCCTTATGCGCGCGGCGTCTCAGACAGACATGGCATGGAAAAGTGACGTGACCAATGCCACCTCTTGCCTCGGGTTCAAATGCGGAGGGCTGTCAGCCAACCTCCCGCAGCAGCGCTTTCATTTGCTTGCCTATGCATCTGGCTCGTTCCCAAACTGCGGATCGTGATATAGGGCTTCTGGGTAATTGGCGAATGGATTTGCTTCTAATACACCACTAGCCGAGCAGCTGAGGTCTGCTGGAACCGGTCACCACGGCAGCGTTGGCAAAGTGGTCCGACTAACTCCAAATAATCCACCATGGCCAATTACACGAACTTCTCGCCATCAAGAGATACCCATCACACGCCTAGAGCCGCCGTCGGCCGCCATCAACCAACCAGGCCTTATTTCGATCACTACCATTTAGTGGGATAGTCGCCTCTCCACTGGATACTAAAAAAAAGTCCCTTTAGTTTCTGTCGCGTAGACGTTCTTTGTCTTTTATCCAGCGTAGTGTTCTCATACCATTGGGGTACGCATGAATTCCGCTTTCGCAAAACCCCCACCATTGACAGAGCTGTGCCACTGTTCTCCCGTGTGATAGATAATGCGTGATACATTGTGCAATTATATTGTCGCCCTGTACAAGTGCTGCCTTTCTTCCTTTGCCAAATCGGCGCGCTGCCTACCGTTTTCTGATACAGGTTGGGCTGACCGGGATCGCAAAAGGTCCTCTAGATCTCTAGTCTGTCAACGGCTATCCACCCAACCTCCCTCATGGTCACAGAGACAAACGCCATGTGGCTGGGGGTTTGCGGCCACGAGGATGCAATTGACTGCTTCGCTATAGACCAGACAGTGGATAGTGGCATCCCCTTCACCTGGCTTTCTCTTCCTAGCCATGGCTACGAAAGGGACTTTCAGAAGCGACAAATCTTGTCGGCCCCCGGCTTAACACGGAGACAGGATGGAGTCACGGTGACATGTTTCAAGGGCGCGACACCGCATTTCTCACCTGCTCCTGATTTCCATTGACGACGTATTTGTCCACGGCGGGCAGGTGGGCCAACCCAGAGAATACTACTCGAGGTGTAATTCAAAAAGTCCTGCCCAATTAAACACTCTTGTTGAACTCCGCCTTGCCTTGCTTGTCATACAGAATATCGATCCAGAGCACACGTTTCATGACGGCCCGCGCCTCGGCCCATGACGCTATGGGGATCGACAGTTTTACTTCACCAAACCAGTCGGCGAATAATTTCTCAGGCGCCTCCTTGTGAACCTGGACCTTCCAGACCATGAGGACCCAAAAGGTCAGGAGTGGATTGAACTGATCGCCAGAGGATCGGAGCTTCCACAGCGCATCTTGGAAAGCTCGATTGACCGATACATTGATCGCGCGGAGTTCCGGCCAACTGAAGAAAATTGATGTAGCGAACGCGAGCATTCCAACTCGGAATGCCTCCGAGGCTGGTGACCGGTCAAACGAAAGGTGCGAGAGACGGTAAGAGACGGACAGCAGAATCTCGTTGAAGGTGCCGTGGGGGAGTTTCAGCCCCGTTTGACAGCCCAGGTTGGTCATTTGGCAGAACTCGCGAAGGTCGGTCCACACGTTGTAAAGCCGCGTATCCAACGACTGAATCATTCTCGATAGCTCTTTGTCATCCTCGAACCTTGCTAGGCTAGTGTGACCAGAACCAGTTATATAAGGTTCCCATGAGATGTCGTCTCTGAAATATATGGGTCGACCATTGTTTCGTAGGGCGTGCGAAAGATCGCCTCTGGACGCATGGTCAGCTCCCGGATGCTTCTTCCCCCTGTTCACACCAAGAACACGTACCTGCATATTTTGAAAGCTATTTCATTGGCGGTAGTTTTCAAGTTTGGGAGCCCACCCCTTAAATTGACCATTACCTTGAGACCTTCCAAGTGGCTCTCGAGGGTGCCCCAGTCTTCGAGGACGTCTGCTGCTAAAGCCAGCATTACGATCGTCATGATGGTCGGGTCGGAAGTGGCAGAGGAGCTGTTAGGTTTGGAGAGCCTGCTCTGCAGAAGACGTAACGCTTCTAGGAGATGTTTTTGTGTTTGGGCACTGGGCTGTCTGCACAGTTTCTTATCGTGGTAGGCTTCGGCTGAGTACGCCATCGCGTGGATGTATGCGGCGTCACTTAGCAACAAACCGACCCACGCAGCATCGATGGTTGGTTCATCGATGCATAGTTCCTTCGGATACATGGCGCTTCCAAGAATAGGTAATACTGGAACTCTGTGTGAGTGGTGGAGCCAAATGACGATACGAAGGGAAGGGAAGGGAAGGGAAGGGGAGTGCAGCTTACAACTTGCTGCGCTCTGGATAATCCGCGGGTGTACTTTATCCGGAAAGCGAATGAATGAGAGGCCGTTACCAAGAGGACGGAAGAGGCAAGCCTTCTCGGCATGGCTATCGTCCTGCTGAGCTTGCTCGCCGAGCCCTACATCATGATTGATCCAAGATGTCAAGGCTCTTGGACCCTTACGGCTCGAGCGGCTACGAGAAATATGGCTCCGTACCAGTCTTTGATTTTCTTTGACTCTGGGATTAGATGCGGTCGTCACGACGAACTGAAAGCCTCCGCCAGCGCTCATTCTGGATTTGCCAGTCGGCCTCGGCACGTCTATAATCGGTAATTGGCAAATCTTGGCAAACCAACATCGGGAGACGTAAACCCGGCCTATAGATGCTCAGATAAAATAGCAGATTGATGATCCAGTGGGTATTCCAAAAGATAGGGAACAAGACCAAATGCCAACCCCAGGAGAGCTCAGCCACGCGAATTGGGAAATGCCGGTTTTTATGGAGAATTGCCGTTTAAGTGGAACAGTGCCAAGACTCTGTAATTTTCCCTTTTGGGACAAGTCTAGATCGATGGATCGTTCTCCCACCAATCGAGCTCTAGTCCTCCCTTTTCGTGTTTGCCTGCCCTCCTCTCTTCTCTTGCATGCTATTCATAGCAATCTATATCTCAAACCCAAGCGGCCCGTTTCCGACGAATGCATGCCCTAATTTCGTTCCAAAATCTGTAGCCCTATGGGTACCCGCATGCTTAGGTGTGACCTAAAGATTCCCAGTCAAGCATTCCTCGATTCGGCAATTTGCATGGCTTGGCATCAAATTGATATCTCGCATGGTGATACCTACAGGTGTTTGCCTACCGTGCACTTACCTTGAGCTAGTGAGAGTTTCGCGTCCGGTTTGTCTCAATATGGCATTTGAGGTGGTCTTGGCATCTATACCTCGCCTCGATGGTAATTACATGCATTTGTCTGTTATCGTGGAGGAGGTTAGACAAAGCCATGGCGCCGAGTATAAATGGCTGAGCACTCTGCCTTCAGGAGGTGAAGAAGGCAGAGAAGCCAGTCAATCAGCAAGCTTGAATCACTTTAAACTACCAAGATGAAACATTCACGAGACCTACCTCCGTACACGGCGGGCTTTGGCTCCATGATCGTTACCCACCAACTCAAAAACAGCCCACCACCAGTGCCAGACAATATCAATCTGAGCGGAAAATTTGCCATCATCACTGGCGCGAGTAGTGGGCTCGGGCTTGAGAGCGCCAAACAACTGTTGTCCCTAGGACTCTCGCATCTGATCATTGCTGTCCGGTCTGTCCAAAGGGGGACGGCTGTGCTGCCCAGCTTAAAAGCAGCCAACTCGAAAGCTAAAATTGAGGTCTGGGAGCTGGAGATGGAGTCTTATGACTCAGTTCAGAAATTTAGCCAGCGGTGCGAGCGAGAGCTGGAGAGGATCGATATCGTCATTCTGAATGCAGGCATATCGGTACTGGAGTTCAGCACAGTTGTCACTGGTCACGAAATAACGATGCAGGTCAACTACTACAGCACCTTCCTCCTCTTGATTCTACTTTTACCAATTCTCAAGGCCAAGGCTTCCGGAAGATTGGTTCCTCGAATGGTGGTCATCAGCTCGATAATGTCTCAATTTGCCAAGTTCGCCCACAGCGACAAGCGACCCCTTCTAGCATCGCTCGATGACACAAATATTGTGCCCTGGGATAAGCTTGACAGGTACAACATCTCCAAGCTGGTTGGGCAGATGTTTGTTGCGAAGCTCTGCGAACAAGTATCTGCCAAGGACGTCCTCATCAACATGGTTGAGCCGGGCTCGGTCAAGGGGACAGGGCTGTTTCGGAATGCTGGCGGTATCGTCGCAGTCGCATTCAAAGCGATGTTTGCCCTGACAGCCCGGACTGTGGAAGTGGGTGCTCTAACGTATATGGATGCCGCGGTCGTCAAGGGAGAGGAATCACACGGTTGCTTGATGGTGAATGGTGAAATCGCTCCGTAAGTAGAAGAATTCCGAGCCGTTTTGGCATGGCGCAATTCACACTAACCTTGCTTTTAGGCTGGCCGCTAAAACCTATGGCAAAGAGGGAGAGGAACTCATGGAGGTGGTGTGGAAGGAGACGGTTGAGGAGTTTGCACCCTTTGGATGCAAAGAGATTTTAGACAGTCTCTCTGCGTGAGATATATGTGTGTACTTAATTTCATCGTCTTCTATATAAACCGGCGTTGTTCTTCACTTTAAGCTTGTCTGGATGTAAACTTCCTAGGAAATAAAAATAGTTCCGATCTTGGCTGCTGGGAGCTGTGCTTGGTAAGCTAGACCGAGATCGGAGTAACAGAGCTCTCGGAATTGGGTAGCGATTCTGCTTGGCCGTGATTTGGTAATGACGAAGCAATGATGACGGGCGGGGCACCCTCAATGACGGAAGAAGCATCGCTGCACGTTCGCAGATAGCCGTGCCTGGCCCCGAGAGCGAGCTCCGAGGTGGAGGTGGAGAGACAGAAGGAGGCAGTAGCGATCAAAACTCGGTCCCTCTCCACTCTTGAGCAACTCCTCATTGTTCCACATCCTCTTGAGCTTCATTCTTCGCTCTCCCGCACTTTCATACCATTCCACCCAAGAAAGACCCAAGAACAATAAAAAAAGAAACCGCCAAAATGGTCAAGGCTGGTAAGTTTAAATAACTAGCATGGGCAGCTCCCGCGCGGCATAGCCCGTCACTCCCGGCACACCCACACTGAGGGAATACGCGCGAGTTTGAGAGAATTTCCGTGTGATGCCTTGATGGTCCAACCGAACCTTGATGGACAGCCCGGCAGCACATGGCTGCAGCTGCTCGGTTGCCTAGTTTGGCATTCGTCTACGCGATTCATGAAGCGCATTGGCTAATTCATCTCCGTCACTACAGTCAGTGTCCTCCGCGGCGACGCAAAGGTCTCCGGAACCGTCATCTTCGAGCAAGAGTCCGAGTCCGCTCCCACCACTATCACCTGGGACATCACCGGCAACGACCCCAACGCCAAGCGCGGCTTCCACATCCACACATTCGGTGACAACACCAACGGCTGCACCTCCGCTGGCCCTCACTGTAAGAGAGTTCCCGGCCGATGAACCGGCCCTCCTCTTCCGCCGTTCAGCGTGCTAACCTAGGATCTTGGACAGTCAACCCCCACGGCAAGACCCACGGTGCTCCTTCCGATGAGGCCCGTCACGTCGGTGACCTGGGTAACATTGAGACCGACGGCCAGGGCAATGCCAAGGGCTCCGTCACTGACAGCCTCGTCAAGCTGATCGGCCCCCACAGCATCATTGGCGTAAGTCACGACTTATCTGAACCTGTAGTCATCAAATCGATAGCTAATTCAATCATAGCGAACCGTCGTCGTCCACGGCGGCACCGACGATCTTGGCAAGGGTGGCAACGAGGAGTCCCTCAAGACTGGCAACGCTGGTCCTCGCCCCGCCTGCGGTAAGCGATCTCCTGCCAATTACACGATGTTCAACTTGATGTACTAACACTTCGCTTACAGGTGTTATTGGTATCTCCAACTAAGAGATTGGAAGTAAGAAATCTTCAGCAACCCTCTGAAGCGGGGTGTGGTAGTGCCGAGGATGGTATATACATAGGATCCTGGACTACAATTGAAAACAATTTATGCTGAGGTAGTTCTCTGCGTACCAACAATACCAAATTCACAAGAAATCATCACCCGTGAAGCTCATTCATCTATGTTTCTGTGTCTTGATGATATGGCTGTTTTGCATGCCCAGGAGCTACCAGGGAGCTATCTCGTAGTGTGACGCAATTGAGGGGTACAGCTCCTCATCAAACGATGGGTGGGCGCTGTAGCTGCGTCATCAAGCATCTTGATTCTGCTACTTACAATGGAGTTTGAAGTGCTAGAGGTAAGAGAAAATGTAAGAGCAGTACGCGGTTCCTAAATATAATGAAGAATAATGCGAAATACGAATGCCAAACCCTTTTATATTAATTAGTTGGCTTCCTCTTGGCTTAATAGCATCATGTAAGCCTGTAAGACGAGCTTCAACCTTGCCCCGCCAACCCACACTCTCACCGCTTTCGCCACCAGCCAGCTGCCCCGCGTCTTCGCTTAGCAGCGCCCTCAGGCGGGTTGTGGCCCCTGAAACCAGAGCTTAGTCCCCACAATGTTCCATAGTCGAACGAGAATCGGGACACCTTTCCATAACTCTATGAACCCTGATCACAAGACACTACTCCCTTTTCAACAGTTTCTTTCATTCTCGAATCAATTGCTCTTCCCAAGGCGATAGAGGGCTTGTTTCCTACCCAATTCAGCCTTCACTTACCTTCTTCTGTCTAAGCCCGGTATGTCGATTCTTGTTTCCTTTTCGGTACTTCCCAGAAGCTCCAAAATCTCCGGGGTCAGGACTCCAGCATCCGGAATAGAGCTCTAGATGGTGTCTACTTTGTGCGGATGGGGACTGTGAATGGTGTTTTTGTCTACTCGGATCTATTATATAGGGTTCCTTCCTCAAAGAATTCTTACTAGCAAATGCATTGGCCACATCTTAGCTGGTTTGACTGGTATGCAATGAATAGCTTGCTGACCGCCCCAACCCAATGCAGGCCTCTCTGATCGGTTCCTGTTCGGATTCACCATGTCGAAGACTTTTATCGGCAATGTCAAGAGTGTCTTGAGCGGAGATACTTTGATCCTCACGAGTCCCAACAACCCGTCGGCCGAGCGAACCTTCGCCCTTGCCTATGTCAATGCTCCCCACCTGAAGCGTGAGGGCGACGAGCCCTTCGCTTTCCAGTCCCGAGAACACCTCCGAAACCTGGTTGTTGGTAAGCCTGTCCAATGCACGGTCGCGTACACGATCCCCAATTCTGGCCGAGAATTCGGAACTGCAAAGCTCCAAGATGGCACCGAGTTCCCCGACGAGCAGGTGAAGGCTGGCTGGCTCAAGGTCCGTGAGGATGCTGGGCGGAAGGAAGAGGACGAGGAGGTTCTTGATAAGCTCGAGAAGCTCCGCGGTCTCGAGTCCCAGGCCAAGAGCGAGGGAAAAGGTGTCTGGTCCGGCGCTGGCGGTATCATCGAGGTCCAGAATGATCTTGGAGGCCCCGAATTCTTGACCCAGTGGAAGGGCAAGACAGTTGACGGTGTTGTTGAGCGCGTTCTGAGTGGTGACAGACTTCTCGTCCGACTCCTGCTCTCCGATAAGAAGCACGTACAGCCCCTCACTCTCTTGGCTGGTATTCGCACACCTGCAACCGAGAGGGTTCTGCCATCCACTGGCGCCACCCAGCCTGCTGAAGAATACGGAAATGAAGCCAAGGCGTTTGTCGAGTCAAGATTGCTCCAGCGTAAAATCAAAGTCGAAATTGTTGGTGCAAGCCCCCAGGGTCAGCTCGTGGCGAGCATCATCCACCCCCGTGGAAACATTGCCGAGTTCCTTCTCCAGGAAGGCCTTGCTAGATGCAATGACTTCCACTCCACAATGCTTGGCGAAAAGATGGCGGCATTGAGAGCTGCTGAGAAGCAGGCTCAAACTAAGAAGCTCCGTCTTCACAGGCACCACGTTGCCAAAGCTGAGACCGGCAACCAGGACATGATTGTGTACAAGATTATTGGAGGAGACACGATCTTGGTCAGGAACAAGGCAGGCACCAACGAGAAGCGTATTAGCTTCAGCAGTATTCGTGGCCCCCGTACCAACGAGGCTTCGGAAGCCCCCTTCAGAGAAGAGTCCAAGGAATTCTTAAGAAAGAAGGTCATTGGAAAGCACGTCAAGATCAGCATCGACGGAACCAAGCCCGCGAGCGAAGGCTTCGAGGCTAAGGAGGTTGCCACCGTCACCGAGAAGGGTACCAACATCGGTCTTGCACTTGTCGAGGCTGGCTGGGCATCCGTCATCCGTCACCGAAAGGATGACACTGACCGTGCCCCCAACTACGATGAGCTGCTGGCTGCTCAGGAGAAGGCCAAGGAGGAAGGCAAGGGTATGTGGTCCGGCAAGCCCCAGAAGGCTAAGCAATACCTGGACCTATCAGAGAACACACAAAAAGCCAAGATCATGCTTGCAACGCTACAACGGCAGAAGAGAGTGCCCGCCATTGTAGACTTTTGCAAGGCCGGATCCCGATTTACTCTACTGATTCCCCGCGAGAATGCAAAGCTCACTCTTGTCCTTGGTGGCATCCGTGCCCCACGAGCCCCACGAGCTGATGGTGAGGGTGGCGAGCCCTTTGGTAAGGAGGCTCTTGAGCTTGCCAACCGCCGCTGCAACCAGAGAGATGTCGAGGTTGATATCCACGACATGGATAAGGTTGGCGGTTTCATCGGCTCTTTGTACATCAACCGCGAGAACTTTGCCAAGGTTCTCGTTGAGGAGGGTCTCGCATCTGTCCATGCTTACTCGGCCGAGAAGTCTGGAAACTCGGCCGAACTGTTTTCAGCTGAGAAGAAGGCAAAGGAGGCGCGTAGTGGTTTGTGGCACAGCTGGGATCCCTCTCAAGACGAGGAGGAGGAGCCCGAGGCCGTTGAGGAGGAGACAACCGCCGATAGCTCCGTAAGCCTGGAGAAGAAGCCTACCGATTACCGCGATGTCATTGTCACCAACGTCGACGGCAACGGAAAGCTCAAGATCCAGGAGATCGGCAAAGGCACAGCCGCGCTTGAGACACTGATGAGCGAATTCAGAAAATTCAACCTCGACCCCAAGAACAAGCAGCCTTTGAAGGACGCCCCCAAGACTGGCGAGTATGTCTCGGCTAAGTTCTCTGCTGATGGGGAGTGGTACCGTGCCCGTGTACGGGCCAACGACCGAACTGCAAAGAAGGCTGAAGTTCTATACATCGATTACGGTAACAGCGAGATGATCCCCTGGGCAAACCTACGCCCTCTGGACCAACCCCAGTTCAGCGTGCAGAAGCTCAAGGCCCAGGCCGTAGACGCATCCCTTTCGTTTGTGCAGCTGCCTACCGGCGCGGACTACTTCCAGGACGCCGTTGGCTTCATTGCTGAAGTGACCGAGGGCAAGCGCCTTGTCGGAAGCTTCGACTTTGTGGACACCAAGGAGAATCTCAACTACATCACCCTCTACGATCCCAAGACCAACAATGAGTTGCCGGGTCTAAATGATTCTCTAAACAAGGAGATTGTGGCTAATGGCTACGGTATGGTCCCCAAGAAGCTCAAGGCGTGGGAACGTAGCAAGGCCTTTGAGTCGTACTTGAAGCACTTGACCGAGGTGGAAAGCCTGGCGAAGCAGGATCGCCTGGGCATGTGGGAGTACGGAGATATCACTGAGGATTAAATCATATGACCTGAAAAAGTTGAGGAAAATAGATGTGCAATGTACGTATGTACTCAATAATAGGATTTGAAAGACATGCGGAAATCTTCATGAGTAAAGTGACGGATAACGCAAAATGCAATCCCGAACAGTGCGATTTTCGGAATTACTATGGCGGATGTCGACATGGCGAACGTCTGAAGTGGCGGGGAGGGTGACTGTGGCCCGAGCAGAGGCTCCCATTCGTGGGCTCCGAGTCAAGTCCCGTTGCGGTCTTGCTTTCATTGAGGTTCGCTCATCTTCCCCGACAAATCGGCAACCCCAGTTTTTTTGTCCCATCCCTAGGCCGGCTCCAAGCTTTTTTTCCTGTCACGATGCCACAGCCGTCTCATCAGCGGGCTGGAGACTTGGCTGCCTGTCACCCTGAGCACAACCCATCCATGCCGTCTGCGATTGGTAGGCTTGTACATGCAGGTCTGGGGGTATTCTAAATGTTAAATTGCTAATTCGATGTCTATGCCTTTCATCCGTATGGGTTTTGTATCTCCAGGGGGGATCTCGCGTAGAGGGTACCTGATCTGGCGTCACGATCCCACCTTGCAGACTCCGGAGTCGAGGTAGCAGCAGATTGGAATTGGCAGCAAGAGGTCGACGAACGGGATTGGCGGCCGCGATTTTGACTTACGTCTATGTGTGCACATACAGTCGTCAACGTCCCTGCAATCGCCACCCTGGCCGTGGCCATGTGACTTCAAGAACAGGTACAATTGTTCTACTTGCATCTTTGCGTACCTATCTGGCCGCAGCATAGAAGCGATCCGGGAGGACGGAAATGCTCACCGGCCGGCTACCAGAGCTAGGAGCTGGGAGCACAGCAGCCTCTAGCCCCGGCCGGCCCCCGAGTTAGCTAAGCTTCAGTCAGAAACTTGTCAAACCTCCAAATCGTCAGAATCGGAACTATGCGGCTGCAATTACTAACCCAGGCAATGGGCTTTGCACCAGGCGGTGGGGAGGCCCAGAGATTGGCGGGTGGACGGTCGTCACCCTCTGAGGGTCACCCTCAGCGGGACAAGACGCCTGTTGGTGTTGTCAGGTATGACCTAACCAGCGCCCCGCATCGGTGTGGTGGGGGCCTTCTCCTGCTAACGTACCGTGTACCTTCATTGTAGGTACGCATGCGCCGGGGAGCGGGTCGCTGTGGCCCCCCTACCTGGAACCACCGGCCGAGCTCAAAACCACCCTCCATCGTCATTTCTGCCACTTTTCTCTTCTTCTTTTTCTCTCCATCTCCAATCTGTCCATACCAGATCATATTTTCTGATTCACCAATCCAGACCTAATCGCAATCATGTCCTCTGCTCTCGAACAGCTCAAGGCCACCGGCACCGTAAGTAGCAAGTCCTCGCACCCCACCATAAGCTTCCATGCTTCCCAGCAACTGCCCCTCATCTCGAGAGAGCTTTGGAGGGGCTACTTTGGTTGGGCTCGGAGGCGTCGACATGGCCAACCAGGCCCAATTGATGCCTCCCGCAGTGCATTGGTACTGTTCACCTGGGTAGAAAGATTGAAATGCTGACCTTTGTTTCTGTTTCTTTCCACAGGTTGTCGTCTCTGACTCTGGTAATTACCTCATGCCATGTCCAACAGCTTAGAACTACCTGCTAACAGAATCGCTCAATAGGTGACTTTGCCAGTCAGTATACCCCTTTTCCAAGCCATCCCCCCGCACTCCCCGATGCCAGAAATCGAAAGACAACAAGCCATGTGTTCGATTCCGGACTCCCGCACGCTTTTCGAGTTCGAAGAAGTAAGAGACTGACCGAAATGTATAGCCATTGGCAAGTACAAGCCTCAGGATGCCACCACCAACCCCTCCCTGATTCTCGCTGCCTCCAAGAAGCCCGAGTACGCCGCCCTCATTGATGGCGCCATTGAGTACGGCAAGAAGCAGGGTGGCGACATCAACAGCCAGGTCGACCACGCCCTCGACCGCCTCCTGGTTGAGTTCGGCAAGAAGATTCTCGAGATCATCCCCGGCAAGGTCTCCACTGAGGTCGATGCCGCCTTCTCCTTCGACACCAAGGCCTCCGTTAACAAGGCTCTGCACATCATTGACGTAAGTGTCTTGGTCTTGGGGTTTCTGTTCGCTTCACGCAGTAATTAACTAACTATGAATAGCTCTACAAGCAGGAGGGCATCTCCAAGGACCGCGTCCTGATCAAGATTGCCTCTACCTGGGAAGGCATCAAGGCCGCCGAGATCCTCCAGCGCGACCACGGAATTAACACCAACCTCACCCTCATGTTCTCTCTGGTCCAGGCCATCGGTGCCGCCGAGGCCGGTGCCTACCTGATCTCTCCCTTCGTCGGCCGTATCCTTGATTGGTTCAAGGCCCACAACAAGAAGGAGTACGCCAAGGAGGAGGACCCCGGTGTCGCCTCCGTCAAGGCCATCTTCAACTACTACAAGAAGTTTGGATACAACACCATCGTCATGGGTGCCTCTTTCCGCAACACTGGTGAGATCACCGAGCTCGCTGGCTGCGACTACCTGACTATCTCTGTAAGCTATCCCGTCCAAGAGAAAATGAACCATAGTCATGAGCAAAACTGACGCATCATTGTAGCCCAACCTGCTCGAGGACCTCCTCAACTCCAGCGAGGCTGTCCCCAAGAAGCTGGATGCTAGCACCGCCTCTGCCCTTGACCTCGAGAAGAAGACCTACATCAACAACGAGGCCAACTTCCGCTTCGACTTCAACGAGGACCAGATGGCCGTCGAGAAGCTCCGTGAAGGTATCAGCAAGTTCGCCGCCGATGCTGTGACCCTCAAGAACATCCTCAAGGAGAAGCTCGCCTAAGCGTCTCATTAATAAGTGAAAATCATGATGACCAAGAATTGATGAATTCGAAAACAAAAAGAAGAAATGGGAGAAGAATAAAAAAGACATGAAGTAATTGGCTCAAACTGTAGCCTTTGGAGGAACTATTGACACAAGAATTTGTCAGGATCTGTCCAAGTTTTCATTTGTTTTGTTTGTCTGGCTGCGAAGGTTATTTAGGGATTTGAGATGTCAATAGATCCAACGCCTTTCTGGCTATACGATGCCGGCCATGTTACATGCCAACATTACCTATCAACCAAGGATGAACTGAAAGAGCAAGATAGATAAAAGAAAAGCTTAGAATCATTGCCAGTATTTTTAAGCGATGCTAATAGTAGGATTCCGCAATCCAGCCCAAACGCCGACCTTCCAACGCCAGATATATAAAATATATGTATGCAGGTTATGTATAATAAGTACAGGTGATTTGTATTTATAGAGAAAGCGAAGAGGCCGGTCATTGACCCTATGGCGGGGTGCATCCGACCTGGATAGTTGTGTACTTGAACGCAGTGTTCGACGTAGCCTCGATTATAGCAGCCGTAAGAGAATTGCCCTTGACACAGCCAGAGTCGAGGCCTAGGGTGTACTTCCCCTCTTTGAAGCCCTCCCTGGCGTCGTGGCCGTAAATGATTGTGCGTCGCTGATCCTCCTTGAGGCCCTCCTGGTGTCGGTCCCAGCCAATTGTCCACTTCTCACCGGTTCTGGATTCCAGAGGGACGACGACGGCCCTGTCAAAGGTTGCCTTTGAGGGGTCCGCGTTCTCCCGCACGGCCTCGTATTCACTCTGCAGCTTGTCCTCGCCGGAGACCATGTCGCCCAGACCGTCGACGTCGGAGGTGTCGCGGCGCCGCGGGGACTCCATGGCCTTCTTCCTGAGTTCCTCCCTCGGGTAGGCGAGGGTGCGCATGTTCATGACGGCCCAGGGGTCCTGGCTCTCCAGCTCGATGCCTGGGACGAGGCCGGCGTGCACGACGAGGAGGGGCAGGGGCTCGGCGGTGAGGATGACGGGGAGGGCGGCGAGCCAGTCCAGCTGCTCTTTGTCGAGGGTGCGGGCCAATGCAACCTCCTCGGACTTGCCCTTGCGGTGCTGCATGTTGGGGTTCTCCTGGTCGGCCGTGACGCCGTGCATGGTGTCGAGGGTGGAGCGGGCGAGGAGGAGGCGGTCCTCGTGGTTGCCGCGGACGGCGCTGGCGTTGAGCTGCATGAGGCGGGCGACGACGGCGGGGGAGTCGGGGCCCTTGCTGACCATATCACCGACGGAGACGAGGTGGTCCGTCTCCTCGTTGAAGTTGGCCTCCTTGAGAAGCGCGTCGAGGGCCGAGTCCATGCCGTGGATGTCGCCGACGACGACGAGACGGCGCTTGTTCTTGGGAGTCGGGACGAAGGCGGGGGGGATGGCCCCGATGAGGGTCAGGTCGGTGAGGGGCGGCCGCATATAGCCGCCGTAGGACATTGGGAGGTCGGCGTCGTTGAGGGAGACGTGTTTCGTGGAGATGGGCTTGGCGGGGGTGGTGGTGGTGGTGTGGTCCGGGGTCATGGCCTTGTTGTTCAGCAGGCGGGTGCTGCAGAGGTAGATGCTTGACAAGAAGAAGATGGATGCGGCGAGGACGAGCGCCCGGTGGTAGGCCGGTGTGATCTTGAGAGGGACCATGATGGCGGCGGCGAGGGAAGGAGCGGAGGTGGGTTCAATTGCCTTGCCGCCGGGGAAGGAGAGGTGGTGGCGTCGGCGTAGTGTCGATGTCGTCAGTTCTCAGGCATGTAGTTGGTGGGGGAATGGGAAGGGGAGATGGGCTAGTGATGAAGGCGAGGCTGGAGACGACGGTGCGATGCGGCCAGCCAGAGTGATACAAGGAAGAAAAAGAACAGAACGACACAAGTCCCCAGTGACACCGTCTCAAAGAGAAGATATAAGAATAATACTGTGTAACATATGGTTTTTGGACCGGGGATAACAAAAGGATGACGAATGCGCTGGGGCAGAAAGTGCCAAGATCCAGTTTTGGAAATCGGTCACGGGGGAAGCACTTGGCAAATGCCCCTGGCGCTGGTGCGTCGGCGGGTTGCCAGTTGTGGTGGGGAGGCAGATCAGATAAAAGAACGTGGTTGTCTTGGCGAGGAATGGGCTGAGGTTAATATACTTCGAGAAGACCAGCAGAATTGCAAACACAACGGCAAATCTAGCCATCTGCTATCCTGAGATGGAGCACTGAGGCCCCATGCAGATGGCGCAGCAGACGGTAATGCATACGTACTTGGACGAGCCGCGCGTCACTAAAGGCCCAACTCTTACTGAAATCGCAAGCTCAAGCAGGGACTTGCTACTAACCAACCAAACCCCAGAGGTGACTATCTGAGGCCCTCTGGATCACCCGGGCGGCAGCAGCTATCAATAGTCGAACATAGGTTAGGTCTTTGGCCTGTTGGTGGACGGCAGATATTACAGATGGCATGATACGTCGATAATTTGCAACACATCCTATTCCAATTTGTGGAACACCAAGTTGGGGTCCAGCAATCTTGTAAGTTCACCGGATGAGGGTAAAGTAGTGGCGTTGGTGAGAGCCCAGCTCTGCCAAACCGGCGATAGATAAGTCGGGGCCCCGGTATGCGCCAAATGATTGAGTCGGGCTAGATCGAGGCATTGATGCACTCCTGCGCCACCAATTCCAAAATGTAGGTCCAATGGCTGAGTTTCCCATCCCATATCATGTGTTTACGACAGCCATTCTACAATTGATTCATTATCAACTAACTCAATGCCTGGACTATTGATACAGTAGAAGCAGTCAATGCTCAGAGTAGTTTCTATCATTACAGTTGCGTGAGATGTTACATGGTCGAGAGAAGTAGGAGTAGGACAGGGCCGGCGCATCCATCCCGGACGAGAGTCCTCGCGAGACGCTGTCTGCCGTTTGCAAGCCATGACTCTCATTTTAGGTCAGACGTTCTCAAAGTATTTTTGCCTGCGAAATTTGGTATCGTTTGCCCTGTTCGTGAAGGTGGGTGATATCAAGACTTCACAGCACCAGCGATTGACGTTGCGATGGTTCATTATTTCGACTTCTCTTGTTGCTGTTGTTGCTGCTGCTGCTGCTGCAATCGATATTGCTCGTTCTCGATTTCTCTCCAGTCCCTGGGTATCGGTTCGTTTCCACTTGTCTCCTTCACACTACCGGCAAAAGCTGGCTTGCCCGCATACAATTGATATCCTTTCCCGCTCTCAGCAGTTTCGAGTGATTTGTAGGCAACTGGCATGTTGCCGCGGAATCGCTTTCGCATATCGACCATCCCACGCTTGCACTCCCCGAGGCCTTTCTTAAGCTGTTTACATTGTAGTGGGAGTGTTTCGACGAGAGGTTCGCGGAGACAATCGTGAGCCGAGTTGCGCTGGACCATGATGCAGTCGGACTCCTGCAGACAAGCTGCGAGGGCAGCACCTGTATGAATATGTTAGACGAAAGGGATTGCGATTGGAGTGGAATATAACTCCAACTTACGTAGTTCTTTACATGAGCTAGGCATGGTGATTCTGTGGCTGGTCTTGTACTTTCGGCAAGCCTGGATTAAAGATCCAGAAAATGGGCAGATCACTCATTCATTTCCAAGCCAAGCTGATTGGCTAGACGTTGACACAAGTGGAAACATGAAAGATGTGGCTTGGTCTTCGCTTGGTAGGAAGTTTAGCCACAACACCAGCCACAGCTAATGTATTTATACTTTCTGGCTTTAAATCTATGACACACCAAGCCCAAGAAGTACAAGTACCCTGCAGTGACCTATACTCAAACCGTCAGGCACGTACCAGTTCGTACCAAAGCTCTCACGCAGTATTTACATGTGACATCACAATCCTACATAATCTTCAACTGCATCCATCATGAAGGATTTCTTGCTTTGCCACTCAACCTAGCTCTTGCACCTCCTCTATTATAAACTATGGCGCATATTCTGTTCACGAAGGCCCCTTCTGATTAACCTGTATAAACCTATATCGCTGCAATGCCTATTCCGTTTCTTGGCCGGCTGCACCCGTAAGTTCCCCCTGTTTGGCCAACAATGCCCAAACCAAGCCATTGAAACCACCACGCATAAACAAACTGACATCCAGTGGCACAGCACCGAGTACTTCGCTCTGGTGGGGTCTTTCTTACTTGTTGGACTCGAGGCCATAATCCGCATATTGACATTAGCCCTACGTGAGCAAACAACCGCCCAAAGCTTAGGCATAATGTAGCCTATCCCAACAATCTTCTGACCTGTATCCCTCAGCACCGTTCCTTGTACAACTCTTCTACCGAGCGTCGCGACGTATATTCAATCGATTTTCCAGTCCAGCACAGCAGAGAGCTGAGGATAAGAAGAAGAGTAAGGTCATTCCTAGACAGTGTCTATTACGGGCCCACGCTAATCGCATCTCTAGCCATATCGACATCTGTAAGAGATGCTGCCGACTTCGTCGAACTTTGCCGATTATGGGGATATGAAGCCGAGGAGCATATTGTGCAGACAAAAGATGGCTTTCTCTTGGGCCTCCACCGCCTGCAATGGAGACGAGGCGAGGAGGGTAGAAAAGTCAACAACGGACCATCAAGTATCAGGAAGCGAGTGGCATATTTACATCATGGTCTTTTGATGAACTCCGAAGTCTGGGTTTGTCTCACAGATGAGCAGAGATGCTTGCCTTTTGAGTTGGTGGAACGGGGATTCGATGTCTGGGTAAGTAGGAGGCTTATTTAAGATGTCTCGGGACTCAGATCCGCTAACACGTCCATAGTTTGGAAATAACCGAGGCAACAAATACTCCAAAAAGTCTATCCACTGTTCTCCCACCTCGTTGAACTTCTGGGATTTTTCCATTGACGAGTTTGCCTTCCATGATATCCCGGATAGTATATCATACATTCTGGATACAACACAGCAAAAAAGTCTTTCATACATCGGCTTCTCTCAGGGTACGGCACAGGCGTTTGCAACTCTCGCTATTCATCCAAAGCTCAATCGTCAAGTAAATGTCTTCATCGCTCTGGCACCGGCCATGGCACCGGCAGGCCTCTCTAATGGAGTTGTGGACTCCCTCGTCAAGGCCTCTCCCCAAGTTCTGTTTCTTCTCTTTGGCAGACGATCTATTCTCAGCTCTGCAACAATGTGGGAGAGTCTCTTGTACCCGCCATTGTTCAGTCGAGTTATCGACATGGGTTTGTCTTTTCTTTTCAACTGGCAGACGAAGAATATATCCGCGAGTCAAAAGTTAGCGGCATACCCGCACTTGTATTCTTTTACCAGCACGAAGAGTGTGGTCCACTGGTTTCAGATCATTCGGCATAGATCTTTCCAAATGCATGATGACGATGTGCACCAGCCTATGAGCCTCAGCACTTCCAGCAAGTACTCTAAAGTTGCGAAGTACCCTACTCGAAACATCAGAACGCCAGTTGTCCTGGTCTATGGGGGGAGCGATTCGCTGGTCGACATCAAAGCCATGCTAAAAGAATTGCCCCCACAGACAGTTGCGACTGAGATCCCTCACTACGAGCATTTGGATTTCCTATGGGCGAGGGATGTCAACACTCAAGTTTTCCAGCATGTGTTTGATGCTCTCGAGAGCTTTACCAACGCAGAACATACAAAGGAGGAATATGATAGATATTTCTTTGCAAGACAAGAGAGTTTGATCGGATCTGCACATCTGCACGATGGCGGTCCGAGAGAAAGTGAAAGCGAGTCGTCGACAATCGCAGTTGCATCCGAGGACACAAATTCTCCATCGAGCTACACACACCGCGCGCGAGAAAACGAGCCCTCCGAGGATCCCACCCCATTGGTTACGCCAATCCAGACGTCTTTCATCACATCCCAGCACACCCCTGAATCGGTCGCGAAAACTGCCCGGCATGAAGTACAGTGGCAGGACGATTCTGTCGGAACCTCTCCATCTTCGCCACGGGTCTCAAAGGTCAAGTTTTCGGGAGCACGAAGAGGCAGTGACGGGAGCGCTATCAGTGTAGATGGTATGCGCGGTGGCAAGGGTATTAGCCTCGGCGCAAGTAAGACCGCTGATGGTGTTGTAACTCGCACAGTTTCTGGGAGCGCGGGCACGCCAATATCCTCAGGCGACGATTCCAAAGTATCAGTAAAGAAGCGGAAGTAGAAGGGTTGCTTGACACAAGGTGGTGTTTATAATAGATATATTCGCTTGTTTAAGCCGACAAAGAAATTGATTGGTATTTTTATCCCCCAAGCACTACCGCCCAGTGATATATTGTTGGCTTTTCTTAGAATCCCTCACGGGTAAATGATGCATTCAAGGCTCATGAGCATTCCAAGCGCGCATAGAATATGATACGACAGATCGTACATACACTGGATTGCGTCACCAGATATACATGTTCATCGCGGACTTCGTGCTTGATAATTTATCACATTGAAGCGGAAAGGAATAGGGATTTGGAACATTGCCTGCCACAGCCATATACGCTGATGACATGAGTATCATTATGTTTGAATAGCCTAATTTACCAACGATCTTTCGAGATCCAGCAGAACCATAGCAAACTGTTACTCTCTTTGCGAAAGGCCAATTCTCTCCATTTGTTCCACCGAAAGGTAGATTAATTTCTCGGCCGCACCGTACAAGATGCGAACAATCGCCTCGTTTTTTTCTCGTCAATCAGCCAGCCCGTGGGAGAGGGCTCTTCGCCATCGGCACATGCGAAACATTTGTCTAATCTGGTTCTGAATGGGACAGAAAAGGAAAATGTAAATAAGGTGGGTATCGGTATAGCGGCATATCAAAGGCCACTTCATGAAAAATAGCAAGCTTCATGGAAGATGCAACCGTTACGAAACCGGGGGGGAATAAAAGGGAACAACGAACTCCATTGAAGCTCCAAGAACGCCCAAAAGTACAATGGGAATAGCCATCTCAGATCTTACGAGGTAGGGTGAGTGGATGCTTACGGAAACGCACAGGAAAAGGAAGGGGGGGGGACAACGATGGGTCGGTGCGGTTAGAGGCTGACATTTCCTAAGGGGAGGATCTTGCTCTTGTCGCCAGAAAAGTTGGCCCTGTAGTCGACAATGCCGTTGCTGATCGTCTGGAAATCCTTAATCTTGCGTTCGCGGTAGTCAGTGAGCAGTCGACGAAGTCCATTAATGAACTGGGCCTTTTGCTCCCCTTCAAAACTACTGTGAGATCCCAGCTGGAGGAGAATCTGATCATCTGTAAGAATGTGCCAGGTCAGTATTCACCTAACACGGGAAATTTCTGTGGAGTTCATTTGTTGGATTCTTTCCAACAGCCTGCAAGGACTTACCAGCGAGCTGCATAGCTTCGAAGTGTTGATATGGACACATGTCCCCTCTGGAACAAGCTTGGCCAGCCAGCTGGTCTGGGCATACTTCCAGATTGGCATCAATATTATTGCTATATGTCAAGGAACGGAAACCGCCTGGGACTGAGTTGTTGAATTGAGGATGAAACCGATACGCACGGAAAGGTCTCAGGGACGAATCGTAGGGGACAAAGCTAGAACCGGGTCTTGATTCAAGCTTTCCTTGATCGTTTTCCTATTTGTGAGTGTTAGATTCGAACCGCGTTTCATTACAATGGCATGTCTACTTCTCTTGGAGATGCCGCATTTGATTCTACCTGCCCTGTCGAGATCGATTTCGTGAGAGTGGTAGGCAAAACGGCCTGTTGTTCGTTATCACTCGTCTCATGAGAGGAATTTTCAGCAGGCTCAGGGCTGAAAGAAGGTGATTTATCAGACTCTTGCATCAAGGTTTGCAGTTCCAAGTCCTCGTCTTCACAAGCATCTGGACTGTGGGGTTGTCCCTTGACCAGAGCTTCCTGTTCTGTTGAGGTCTCTGCCTGCAATCCTTGATCTTGTACTTCAGGCTGGTACTCAGCTTCACTAGAAGTGGTCTCTTCGTCCATTCGATCATCAGAGTTATCGTCCGTATCTTCCTGACTCTCAATGTCAGGCATTTCAACATTATTCTCATCGTCAATTGATGCGTGATCAACATAATCGTCAGGAGTGCCACCTTCCGTAGCGTCGGCAAGGGTGTGCTGTTCCGTTTCCACAGCCACTACTTGGCTCTCAGGGTGAGGGCCTGATGCTGAATCACGAGACGGTGTATCCAACGCCTCAACAACAACCGGTTCTTTCACTATAAGCAAATTAGAACTGGCCAACGAGTATCAGTAGTACACCAATTTGGGTGAGGATATCACTAACCTACTGACACAAGAACCGGTGTGTCTTTGTGGCCATCATTCTGGACCTCTGTGTTGCAGAATGTCACCTCATCGCGCAGTTGTTTTTCCTCTTCTAAGCTTGCCTCAATATCTTTCTGGATATCTTCCATCTGGGAACGTAGAGCCTCGAGCTTTCTAAGCTGTTCCTGACGATGAGCTTCAACAAGAGGCAACCGCTCGCTAGCCACACGAGATCGCTGGCGGAGGGCGATGCGCCGTTCAGTTTGATTTGAATCTGAGGCTTTCGGCAACCTCTGGGAAACAAATTCCAACGGCCCAGCTGGAGGAGACTCTTCCCTTGCGAGTTCACTTCCATCTACAGACGAAACAGGGCCTGATTTAGAGGCAGGCTCACTAGATTCGGTATTCATGTCATCCTGGCCGTTCTGACCATGAGCCGATTCTGTCCTTGAAAGTTTTGCCCGCCTCCGTGCTTCAGCTTCGGCAATCCGTCGCTTCATGAGCTCAATTTCCTTGTTCATCGACTCCAAGTTACCACCGCCCGTAGCTGATCGCGTATTTCTAGGGGGAGTCTGTGCCAAGCCTGGACTTAGATTTTCCAGAGGTGTGGAACTGCCTGGAAGCATTGGAAATGAGGGAACCTTGAAAGGTGAGTTAGAGCGATGAACGGATGCTGAGTCGAGTTCAGGTGAGTCGATTTCCATAGCGGCGTCATCCTCGTCGTCGCTAATATCTATCAGGAATCGCTGTGATTGCCGGGGCTGACCAAACGGCCGTTTGGTCGTGGGGTCAGAGAGGTCATTTAGCTCTGAGGCCATTGGTCGTTTCTGCTGCGAGCTGGAGGGAGCGGTCTGACCAGCAGGGAGGAAGAGGCCGGGAATTGAAGAGGGCGTGTTAGTGTTGCTGTCCTGTACTGGGTGATAATTTGACGTGACGATTTCTACCGGAGGTGGCTTCGTGGCAGCTGAGTTCTGTGTGAGGTTCGGCTGAGCGACCTCCGCAGCCTGCTGGCGGCTAGCAGCTTGTGCTTGTGCTTGTGCCTCTCGAGCCTTTCGTAAGGCTTCCATCTTTTGCTGCACCAATTTGGACTTCTCAGCTATTTGAGCCTGAGTTTTAGCCGGCGCTACAGATGGAGGCTTCTCGGCCGGTTTTGCAGTGGGCGTGACACCGGGCTTTTCAGAAGGCTGCGGGACACTGGCCTGCTTTGCGGCCAGAAGCCGTGCGATCCTGTCCTTGCGCTCTTCGCCACGGCTTCGTTTCGGTTCCTTGGGAGGGTTGGCCATTGGAGCTTTTGGTGTCTCATGACTCTCAAGTTGCATTCGGCTTGAATCCTCAACATTAGTGGTCCTAGGAAGACCGGAATCCATGGCTTGAACATTCGCAATATGTGACTCTTTTTCAGGCGAGAGTTTCATGTCAAGGCCAAGGTCGGTGAATAAGCTGCGCAGTGTTGCTTCGTCCAACCCTTCGTTGAGATAATCTTGATATCGGATTTTAAGCGGCCAAAGACGCAAAATTGTGTCCTGGGCGTGTTTTCGCGCCTCTTCCCAGGTAGTTTCAGCCTGGTTGGAGGCAGCTTCAGAGTCGGAAGAGAATGATGCGGGGGGAGTTTTGAGACCGGCTTGGCTTTCTGCAAGGCAATACTTAGTAGTTGATATACTGCCCACCACGTAATCACACTTACCCTGCTGACCCTGGGGACTAGCCGGTCGTGTGGAAGTAATTTCTCGCGGGGACAGGTAAGGAGAGTATGAGCCAGAGCGCTCTAATGCTGTATCAAACTCAGTCACCAACACTTGTATGTCAGGGCGTAAACGGCTGGAGAGCACACCTTCACCGTCCTGAAGTAGACCTTGCTGTCTCATCTCTACGGTATGGGGTGTCAGGTTGGAAGACTTTGGGGCTTCATGCGTATTCTCATCGAGCGCCTCCGGGTCGTATATATCTTCAAGCTCCCCTTCGCTTACCTCGCCCTCCTCCATTGCCTCATTTGTTGGCTCATTCTGAGCTGTAGATTGCCCAGCTTCCCTAGCGTCAAGAGAGGCGTCCTGTTTGTTAGAGAGTTGCACGCTCGCATTCATCGGGCCTGGCCCAGTGGGCTGGACATAGGAGGTGGGCAGAGGTCCACCATGTACTTCAGAGGCGCCATTTGATAGACTCATCCCAAGACCTGGAATGAGGCTGTGGCCACCATTAAAACCACTTTGTGTATAATCTTTCTGGGTATGCTGCAGCCCAATGCCGACGTTGTCGGGTCCTGAACTTCCTGGAAACGAATATGCATGGCGAGGCTGCGTATCATATTGTTGCGGGAAATAGGGCTCGCTCTGGCCATACGCATAGCCGAATGGATTCATCTTCGCGAATCGATCGCCCGTGGTGGATTAAATCGTGTCCGATTCTAGATGCGCCTACCGTGATGAGTGCGATCAACGTATAACCATCTTTGAGAGACCCGGGATAGGTATTCAAAACAAGCATTTCAGAACAGATCGCCGACAGAACGAATGACAGTCTGTCGCAGTCGCGCCCGGACAGATCAAACCAGATCGTGAAGCGACGCAGGCAGCAAAGCGCGTGTATTTTTTTACGGTGCGCGCGTGCAGGTTCAACGTGGGACAAAATATGTGTGTAGAGTCCAAGATCGCCACTGGGCTCCACCATGAATCTTACCTAATGCATTACATGATGTCACGTGTTGGCATTTGTTTACTTCGTTGGCGGAACCCTCCCCAGCAACCGCGCTATATTGACATTGACGATATCGCTGCAACGGTTGAATACGCTTGCCCAATGCCTCTCGCCGTGCGGCTGCGATCTTGAGCAGAGCGCAGGCTGTATATCGTCACCAAAAGAGCCGCCGTTCATTCTTAAAGCGCAGCGTCACTCTCAGACCGACGCGTGAATTATTTGTTTATTCTACTTAGCTATAGTGGATCCATCTCCCATATACACTCGAAGTCAGCCAGGCCGCTCTCAACGACTTTACCTCCTATGTTGCGTTGATGGTCGACAACAAAAATGTCTTTCAACGCCAATGGCTCGTTCTCGCGGCGGAGTAATCCGTTTACGCGACCAGGCCAGTCACCACAAGCTGCCGCTACCAGCACAAACCGACCGAAATCAACCCTCTTTACGCCCTCTTCTCCTTCGCCTAGTTCACCAACACCTCTGGCGCATACGCGAACACAGTCGAATACATCTACAGCCGTTTCTGTGTCGGTAGGGCTCCAAAGGCGGCATTCCCGCCAAGGTTCCAAGAATGGCTCCACATCGTCAGGGACGTTTGCGCCCTCCTTCATCAAGACAGAAGACATGAGGAGAAGCCATGATGCTGTGAAGGGGATTGAAGGGGAGAATGACTTTTCAGGAAAGCGTTATGTGTGGCTTAAGGATCCACAACAAGCTTTTGTGAAAGGATGGGTTGTCGAAGATCTCCCAGATAACCGGATCCGGGTGCAATGCGACGATGGAACGGTGAGGATAGATGCCTTCGCTGCGAGCTTGTATCAATGTACTAACGAAACCTCCTAGCAACGAGATGTCGATGCAGAAACCGTCGATAAAGTAAACCCGGCCAAGTTCGACAAAGCAAACGATATGGCCGAGTTGACTCATCTGAACGAGGCCTCCGTGGTACATAATCTACACATGAGGTACCAAGCAGACCTGATCTATACTTACTCGGGTCTGTTTCTCGTGACGGTGAACCCCTATTGTCCTCTGCCTATATATACCAACGACTACATCAACATGTACAGAGGTCGAAGTCGTGAGGATACAAAGCCCCATATCTTCGCCATGGCCGACGAGGCCTTTAGGAAGCTAGTTGATGAAGGGCAAAATCAAAGTATTTTGGTCACGGGAGAATCAGGAGCAGGAAAGACTGAGAACACGAAAAAGGTTATTCAATACCTTGCAGCAGTCGCGCACACTGATTCGTTATCAAGAAGCCGGCCGCAACAGTCAAACCTGTCGCAACAAATTCTTCGCGCCAATCCTATATTAGAAGCTTTCGGAAATGCTCAAACTGTACGCAACAACAACTCTTCACGGTTCGGAAAATTCATTCGAATTGAATTTAGTCGAAACGGTACAATTACAGGAGCATTTATCGATTGGTATCTGCTGGAAAAATCGCGAGTCGTGAGGATAAATCCTCACGAAAGAAACTATCACGTCTTCTATCAGCTTCTCAAAGGAGCAGGCTCCCAGATGAGGAGAGAGTTTTTGTTGGATGGACTCAGCGTTGAGGATTTCAACTACACACGCGACGGCCACGACACGATCGTCGGTGTGTCAGACAGGGACGAGTGGAATACTCTCATGGAAGCATTCGGCGTCATGGGTTTTGCGGAAACGGACCAAATTTCCATCCTCCGTACAGTGGCTGCTGTCTTGCATTTGGGTAATATCGGCGTTGTCAAAGAGAGTCGCGCTGCCGATCAGGCTCGCCTGGAAGCCGGCTCAGAGAAGCAAGCAGCCAAGGTTTGCCAGTTGCTTGGTGTTCCGCTTGAGCCGTTCCTGAAAGGATTGCTGCATCCCCGGGTCAAGGCCGGCAGAGAATGGGTCGAGAAGGTCCAGACTCCAGAGCAAGTCCGTCTTAGTCTTGACGCTCTTTCGAAGGGTATTTACGAGCGAGGTTTCGGAAATCTTGTGAGCCGTATCAACCAGCAACTGGACCAAAACTCAATGGGCATGGATGATACTCACTTCATTGGTGTGCTTGATATTGCTGGATTCGAAATTTTCGAACAGAACAGCTTCGAGCAGCTTTGCATCAACTACACCAATGAGAAGCTGCAGCAATTCTTCAATCATCACATGTTTGTTTTGGAGCAAGAAGAATATGCTCGGGAGCAAATTGAGTGGCAGTTCATCGACTTCGGCCGTGATCTTCAGCCCACCATTGACCTCATCGAGCTGCCAAATCCGATCGGTATCTTCTCTTGCCTCGACGAGGATTCCGTCATGCCAAAGGCAACAGACAAGTCTTTCACTGAGAAACTCAACTCTTTGTGGGACAAGAAGTCGACAAAGTACCACTCTTCGAGGCTCACTCAGGGATTCGTCCTCACGCATTATGCAGCCGATGTGGAGTACTCGACCGAGGGCTGGCTTGAGAAAAACAAGGACCCATTGAACGATAATATCACCCGGCTCCTTGCTACTTCTTCAGACAAACACGTCGCCGGCTTGTTTTCTGACTGCCTCGATACTGATGACGATGTTGGTGGCACAAGGAACAGGGTAAAGAAAGGGTTATTCCGAACAGTCGCCCAGAGACACAAGGAACAGCTTCACAACTTGATGTCTCAACTTCATTCAACACACCCACACTTCGTGCGATGTATTCTGCCCAATCACAAGAAACGACCCAAGCAGTTCAATAACTTGCTGGTCTTGGACCAGCTACGATGCAATGGTGTTTTGGAAGGCATCCGTATCGCCAGAACTGGCTTCCCCAACAGGCTTCCCTTCTCCGAGTTCCGACAACGTTATGAAGTCCTATGCCCTGATATGCCAAGCGGTTACCTAGAAGGTCAGGTTGCGGCATCAATGATGCTGGAAAGGCTGGATCTCGACAGGTCTCTGTACCGAGTCGGCCTGAGCAAGGTCTTCTTCAGGGCAGGTGTGCTAGCAGAACTAGAAGAGCAACGTGATGCCCTCATCACGCAAATCATGTCACGTTTCCAATCGGTTGCGAGAGGCTTTGTAACCAGACGCTCCGTCCATAAGCGCCTTTTCCGGACTGAAGCAACGAGAATCATTCAACGAAACATACACGTCTACCATAATCTTGTTGATAATCCATGGTGGCAGCTTGTCATGAAGATGAAGCCTCTTCTTGGTACTACTCGCTCTGCGACCGAGGTCAAGAGACGTGACGCTATGATCAAAGAGCTGAATGAGAAGATGCGTGTTGAAGCTGAGCAACGACATAAACTCGAGGAAGAGCGACGGAATTGCTTCACGGAAATGGCACGTATCCAGCAAACTTTAGAAAGTGAGCGTGCTCTTGCCTTGGACAAGGAGGAGATCTTCAAACGTCTCCAGGATCGGGAGGCAGAGCTCGAGGAAAAGCTTGCCGGTGCTATTGATGACCAAGAGCGGCTCGAAGATCAACTTGATGAGCTGATGGAAGCGAAGAACCGAGCTGAGAGAGAGGTTGAAAAGTACCGCACCCAACTGGAGCAAGCAGTTTCCCTTATTACAAAACTCGAGGAAGAAAAGGGGAGCCTTACTCGCAAGGTTGCTAGCCTCGAGGCGTCCATTGAGGAAATTTCTGAGAAGCAGTCCCAGAGGAGTGAGCAGGAAGCAGCTCTCGAGGACGAAATCAGGATGCTTCAAAGTCAGCTTTCCCTGAAAGAGCGAAAAGCCCATGACCTGGAGAGTAAACTGCTCAAGATTGACCAAGACGCCGAAGTCAAGCTTCACGCGGCTCAAAAAGAACTCGATATGGTCAAGTCACGGGAAACACGCCTCACCCGTGAGAACAAGGCGATTCAAGAGCAGCTCGCTCAGCTTTCCAAGACTTCGACTGACTATGAAGATCTTGTCAGAGAGAAGGAAAGCGAGCTTTCTCTCCTTCGCAGTGAGAACAAGAGATTCGAATCGGAGCGGCGAGGTTTGGAAGAATCCAAGAAGAGCTTGGCAGTAGAAAAGGAGAAGGCCACATCAAGACTTCACCAGGTGCAAGCAGAGTTGGAAGTTATGGTCTCGAAACAGGCTCAGTTAGAACGAGAGGTTGAGGATGCGAACAGCCTTCTGCAAGCGCGACTTTCTGAGGATGAACAAGCCGACAAGAATCGCCAACTTCTGGAATCTCAGATCAAGGATCTCAAAGATGAACTTTACAAGACTCAAGCTGAGCTCAGCAGGGAGCAGCAGTCTCGTGACGATGTACAACTCCTTGGGGAACACAGGTACAATACTCTGAAAGAGGAATATGACCATCTGAATGATTCCAAAATCATCATTGAGAAAGAGCTTTACGCGCAGCAAGATACCCTTAGGAGGATCAAGGAGGCTAGAACGACAGCAGAGAAGGAACGAGATGAGGCACGCGCTGAGATTCGCCGACTCCGTCAAGCCAAGACTGAGGCCGAAGAAGCCAGAATCCGTGCCGAGGAGGCTGGCGAACGGAAAGCTTCCAGGGCTGCCTTGGAGCGGGAGGAAAGTCTGCGCCGGGATCTCGAGGCCGCGAATCAACGCCTGGAGTGGTTTGAAGAGGAGTGTGCAAACCTGAATCATCAGGTTGAAGACCTCAACAAGCTAATATTGTCATCCGGCGAATTTGGTCTCAAAAACGACCAGGCGAAAGAGCGCATGGAACGAGAGCTCAGTGCTGTCAAAAGTCGGTTGGCAGCATCCGAAAATGACAACAAGGCTCTTCTCAACAAGTTACAACAGAAGGGTCTTGAGATTGCACGATCTAGTTCACGCGCCAGCGAAGCGTCTCGTGGTCAGATCTTGTCACTGCAGCGGGAGAAGACCAGACTCGAGGAGCAAAGTAACAAGCTGAACAAACAACTTGGGGATGCCCAGCTTTCCATCGCCTCACTTGAAAAGAAGAACGAGAAGCTGCAACTAAACGTCGAAGATCTCAACCACGAGATCGCCCGCGAAGTCAAGACGAGCAGGAATGCAGAAAAGAACAACTCCAACATCACTGCACAACTCGCAGAGGCCAATCGGTCAACCGAATCGGAGCGCGTTCTTCGGACTCAAGCGCAGTCAACTGTCCGGACTCTCCAGGCTTCCCTCGAATCAAGGGACAAGGAGCTTGCAGAGTTGCGAACCCAAATGCTAGATGCCTTGAGAACCGCGGACCCTGAAGTCAACATTCCAACCCAAAGAGAGATGAAGAATGACAAAGATCTATTGGAAAAGTTTGATCTCGTACGCAAGGTTGAAGAGTTGCAACAACGACTCCGGGTAGAAAACGCAGCAAGAATCAACGCCGAGACCCAGCTCTCAGATAGGAGAGCTTCACGTCAAGAAACCCCCGGCCGACCCAAATTGGAAGAGATACACTTTAACGAAGCTCCTTTCAACGGATCGCCGACTCAGCGAAGATCAACCAGGCCTTTGCCCAAGCCTTATTCCAATACGTCCACGCCTACTCGACGACTCCCAGATCCAGATGCTCAAGACTCGATCCGCTCCGATAAGACGGCAGATGTTCTCAGTTTCAACAATCGACAGGATTTGAAGGCCGAGGTGGAGGAGCTCCAGAACCAGTTGCAACTGTCCCGCATGCAAAACCGCCACCTTCAGAGCCAGCTTGATCGTGCCACACCAGTTTCTGAGAGGTTCGATGAGGAGAGCCCTTCCTCTGCGAGGAGAATTCAGAAGCTCGAGAAAGCAAACAACCGCCTCCACGACATGCTCGATGATTCGGCCAAGAAGCTTTCAGTCTTGGAAAAGAACATTCAAAGCGGCGAACTATCAGTGAGGGACATTCAAACACGATCTCATGAGGAACTGTTGGACGTCTTCAACAGTCAAGAGGACTCTCGCCGTTCGCTTCTGCAAAGTCATAAGGAGACTTTAGCAGAGCTAACCGAGACGAAGTCCAACTTTGACAAGTTGCGCCATGACCGTACCAGCCTCCAGGTCGAACTCCGAGACACAAAGTCAGAGCTGGCGGAGATGAGCATGGCTCGTGAGCAAGAGGCCCAAAACCGCAGCCAGCTGCTTCAGGAGTACTCGGATATTCAAATAAGGCTTGATGCCGAAACCTCCAGGCTTGCAGATGTTACAGCGGACCTCGAGATGTACAAACGCCGCGCAGACGAATACTTTAGCAAGCTTGAGCAAGCGGAAATTTCCGTGCTCAAGGCTAGCCGCGCTGAACAATTCGCCAAGTCCCAATCAAAGGAGGCTGAAGAGACATATGCCGAAGTCATGTCAGAACGCCAAAAGATGGACTCCATGATTGAAGACCTGCAACGGCAGAACCAACGCCTAGAAGAGAGGCTCGAAGACATGTCTACGGACCTGGACGGTGTTGTCCAAGCCAAGAAACGACTACAACACGAGCTCGAGGATTACCGAAACCAGCGGGCCATGGACATTGAGGACAAAGAATCCAGCATGGAGCAAACTCGTAAGAAGTATCAGGCTGAATTCACTACCCTCACCAAGGAGCTGGATCTCGCTCGCGAGGAGAAGCTTTACAAGCAAGCTGAAATCACTCGTCTACGCGAAGAGTTGGATGATCTCCGGTCCAAATGGGACGACGAGGTTCTCAATAGCTCGACGTGGTCCAAAGAAAAGTCTCGCTTGGAGTCGACGCTCGCAGATATTGTCTCCTCTCGAGACGAAGCTATCAATGCACACAACGAGGCACAGGGCAAGGTTGTCTCGCTCCTGTCGCAAGTTCGTACTCTGCGCTCCTCCGTTGATGAAATCGCAGCAGAGCGTGATTCGTTGTTGAGAGAGAAGCGCAGCGTCGAGGCTCGCCTCGAAGAGGCCAAGGCTGGACTGGATGACCTTGCCAACGGTGGCAGCCCAGCTCTGAGAGATGCTGCAAACACCGACAGGGAGATCCTCGAACTCAAATCTAACCTCGCTCAGCATGAAGATATTGCCGCTGCTGCGGTCGAGAAGATGCGTCGAGCCGAGTCTCTGGTGGCCGAAATCCAAAAGGAAATTGCCACTGAGCGTGAGTCTTCAGCTTCGTTGCAAAGCCAGAAGGCAGCGCTGGAGAAGAGCCTCAATGAAGCCCAGTTGAAGCTTGTCGACCTGGAGACCAAGGGCTACTCAAGCGCTAGTCAAGATATCAAATTCCTCTACAAACGTATACAAGAAGTAAGTACATGATGGACAGACAGTAGATGAAAGAAGATAAACTAACTAAGGACGCGCAGCTCGAAACTCAATTGGAAGAACATGAAAGCGAGAGAAACAAGTCGCAACGGTCAGTGCGCAACGTTGACCGTACGGTCAAGGATCTCCAGACACAGATCGAGCGGAAAGACAAGCAAAACACCCAGCTGTCAGAAGACGTATCTCGAATGCGTGACAAGGTGGAGAAGCTGCTGAAGACGATTGATGAGCTCCAGTCCTCGGAGTCAACCAACCAGCTCTCCGCTCGCCGTGCTGAGCGCGAACTTTCACAGGAGAAGGAGAAGACTTTGCGGCTTGAAAGGGAGCTTGAGGGGTGGAAGGGTCTCCGGGTTGAGAGGACATCAACCGGGGCTGTCGGGAGTGTACGAAATCGCATGGGTGCCTGGCGAATGAGTGAAGGTAACGATGCATCACAAGTCGACATCCCAACGAGGAAGAGCAGCGTTAGCAGAGCGCCAAGTCAGAAGGGATTTCTGTAACGGGTTTATGGATCACCTTGCTTAGGTAGTTGGCATAGGATAGGACGGCGTTTGTGTGTGGTGTTTGTACGAGATACCATGAGTATGAGTGCATAGCGGGTGGATGGGACTGTACATGTGTTATTGGTAATGATTATCGGGGTGTCGTTCAGATGATTTGGCATTACATAGAGATAGGGGGATCAGGAGCTCGATTCAATTCGACGTGATCTTAATTCCGACATATAACTTCCTGCACATGTTCCAGAGATGTCCATGAAGCCGAACATGAAGTCATTGATTTAGATGCTTGTTATTTCAAAATGCAACTTCTCGTCACACAGGGGGCCTAGACAAATATCAAGCGCCCTCGAAACGATAACACGTGTGGCTGCTCTGACTTGACCACCAACAGTAGTCATACATACCTTGCATAACAAGGCTAAAAAAAACATTCTACCAGTTCTTCATGTCACAGCCAGAACTTTGTGATTCGGCCACAACGAAGACAAGCCAAAAGAGAAGGGGAAAGAAGAAAAAAAGAAGGGTCTGGCCGGGGATTGAACCCGGGACCTCTCGCAAATAAGCATTAGGGTGAACCCTAAGCGAGAATCATACCGCTAGACCACCAGACCATGCGCTGTAGCTAGCTCGTAGTCCGAGGACCACTTGCTTGGGAGTCGGAGAGTTATCCTACTATATATACCCTCAACCTTGACAAGCCCTGCAAATTCTCCAGCCAATTGCCCATCCTGCACCGTTCTCTATGCCTTAGATTTTTCTACATCTATTCCGAAACCCGGTAACTTTGAAATTTCTCCAATTATCTTATCCTGCAGGAGTGTTTTAGTACACCTTGCGCATAGGCTGCTTCCAGGGCTGCGGTCCCCATGTTCGGCAAATACCCTGTATCCTTCAATGCTGTCTCTTCTCCCCCTCTTCATTTCTCATGTTCTGTTGTTACTCCAGGTATATTACTTGTAGTCAGAAACCTGAAGAATACGAAACGGACATTTATTCAATTGAGAGCGCCACAGGTAAACCCGATTTTCAATGTTGGACCCAAGCGCACCAGCAACTGTATGAGTAGGTAATCAGATGAACGTGACGTGACAAGTGAGTATTATGCCAGTGATGATTGCTCCTGATGTTGATACTTGAAATTTAAAAAACTTCTGGGCGAGGCGTAAACCCTCTGTTCATGTTGTCCCAATCAGTATTTTATATATATAGTCCAGTCTGGCAGTGGCAATCAATACATTGAAACTGGTCATGTTATCATCTTCAAGTCCCGCGAGCCAAGCAAGGAATGTAGAGAAGCAAATTGGATGAATGAAAATGTCAAATACGTATCAGCCAGGAATTATAAGCCAGCAACCGGACGCCTGAGGGTTTGCCTTGATCCCTACTCCCACATCATACCAGGACACCACCATGCGACAGACTACAACCCTGGTACACAACTACCACACGAGATTTTACGCTCGCCTACTGGTATATCTACTCACAGAACGATATGGTGGGAGCTAATGGGAGGAAGAGTCAAATATAAACTAACTAGGAGAGTTTGAAGAGTTATGCTTGGATGATTAGGTCACCCTTTGTAGAGGTTGGAAATCAAGCATCAGGTGAGGATTTTCTGAATCTAGAATCAAACATGCCTCGACGGATTTGAAACTGCCCTGAGGCTCAGAAAAAAGTCTTGGAACCTCCAATGAATGAAGTACTGATGGGGAAGGCTCACGACTCATGGCATCTTGGTGCTCGCTTGGCCATCTACATGGAGGGGACATGTAAGAGAAACAGGGTTCTACGGTGGCGGGCAGATTTGTGTCATAAGAGAGCCCCTTCGTATTGGGGTGATGATCGTATTATAAAGCACATTACACGATGATTGGGGGCCTGGTCCCATTCTTCTTCGTCTTCGTAATAAGAATTATGCACCCCTTCGCCATATGTGTAACTTGTGTGGAGGACACCATTGGCGCGAACTCTTACTCTAGTCCCCCGTCGAATTTTAACCTCTTTGTCAGTTTCAACGTCACTAAACAGATATATCCACTTGGTTGCATGCAGAAACTTGAGACATTGTTGGGGTTTGTGCCCTATATGTTCCTTGTTCGGTATCCAAACTGGCAACAGCTTGTGTCAGGCTTGGTTTTCCATGGGTTTCTAGTGCATGCTCCAAAATCCGCGTAAGATATACCTTCAACGTCACTACTTTCCTTCTAAGTTTACTTCTGTGGAAACGGCGTAATGATTGAGGATGGAGAGTAGTGTATGAACGGAAGTAAAGGGGCCGCTTGACCAGTCCCTTTAGGTAGCATGTTCGGCTCTCAGACTAGAAGTAAATGAGGTCATTTATTGGGTTTAACTTATCTCATCTCTGCAGACACTTAAACTAGTATTTCAATTCCTTTTTTACGAAACTTTTATCTTTGAGATGAGTCATAGGATGGTCAAATTTTGTTTCGAGTCAAAACCTTACCTTGTAGACAAAAATCGAAACCTGGGGAACCTCGTATATTTTCTTGACTTAAGTCTTCCTCCTAAATGCACGCATTTTACTCTCACAAAGCTAACAGCAGAAATAGCCAATTGATTCTCACAGTGAGGCGGATTAGGCCGGGATTTCTATGACAGCATTGGCCCGAAAGCAATGTCCATGGCACGCTGGTCTAGCCCGAGCACATTTCATCCTTGTTTTGCGTAACTTGAACAAACTCTACTGGGACATATATCAATACGATAATTTGTTGGTACATTTTTGACGTTCCTATCGAAAGCTCATACAGTAATTACATGCGCCCCTTCCATCCTTAATTGCCCCGACCACCCTGGCCAACGTTATCTCCCTTGGCGAGACCTTGGCTCTGTCCGCCACTGGCGTTGGCGTCTTGCAGTCCCTGGCCATGCTCAGCCTCGGGAAGGGGAGCTGTCTTGTCGGCGCGGGCGACCTTGTCACTGAGGTTCTTGTTCTGATGGGGGTTGGGTTAGCTTGTTGAACTTGAGAGGTGGGAGCCCAGTTCCAAGAATTGGGAAAACATACACCAGAGCCGTGGGCAATGTTGTGATCGGTACCCTCAAAAGGGCCGTTGTCAGATGAGCCGTCTCCTTGGCGAGGCATGGTATTTTGAATGAGTTGGTTGCTTAAGTTGGAAAGTAGGGTCTAATGTGAGCGTGTAGCTTCGTGGGTTAAACCGCGCCAGAGAATTTTGGTAATTGAAAGGGGTGTCTTTGTTCGTTTGGAAGAGAGAGCTCACAAGGTTTTTATATCCATTGAGCTGCTAAAAATATTTAACTCAAAAGGCTGATACTCGTCGACGTCATAATGTCGTTCAACGTCATGATGCCATCGCGATCCATCAACGTGGGGCCTTGCTCCAGGATTGACAAATTTGTACCTGATGGAGGCGGTTTCATTTGATGGGCCGTCTCCATTATCGCTTACGTAGCTGTTCCTGGAGCTTTCTGGCAGTATGGCCCACTAGTGGTCTCTCCAGCTCGTGCCTCATCAAGGTTTAACGATTGTGCCTCGGTCGCTGATAGAAATGACAAGTACTTTAATGATAGGCTTTCAGACGCCAGCTACTCAACTAAAAATCACTAGGTACATTGCAAACTGCTTGACCAAGTTGGTCAAACCATATTATCGAACCGCTCGCAACGGGAACATTCCGTGACCTCCAAATTGTTATACATTGAGGTAATGCCCCAAATCATCTTCAGCTCCGCGTCTTGACCACAAATTGTCTCTGTCATTGTTTGTTGTTCTCCTTGCGCATTGCTTGCGGCAACTTCGAGCAAAACTCAGGAACAGGAATTGAGACCTCAAGTTAAGGAACCCATATGCCCAACGGCATGTATACGACCAATGGCAGGTAGCCAAATAAGGGTCGAGTGCGTGAGGCCTTACTGCTTACGGGGCCGAGTGCGACGCCCCTTAGTTGGCTCCGGCTCAGCAGCAGCAGCCACGGACGCACGCTTGCCTCTGCCCCTAGGCTTTGGTGCTGGTTTCTCTTCCTCCTCCTCAGCTTCCTCGGCCTCGGGAGATTCTTCCTTGGCTGCAGCCTTTTGAGACTTCTTGGGAGCAGGTTTAGCCGCGGCCTTGGCCTTGGTAGCCTTGCCCTTCTTCTGGGGAGTAGGCTCGTTTTCCTCCTCCTCCTCAGTCTCGGGGTCTTCTTCCTTAGCGGCAGCCTTCTGAGACTTCTTTGGGGCAGCTTTGGCCTTCGTGGCCCTGCCCTTCTTCTGGGGGACAGGCTCGTCCTCACCCTCGTCCTCACTTTCATCCTTGGCTTTGGGTGCGGACTTGGAAGCCCGAGACTTCTTGGGAGTGGCTTTGCCACCAGCAGCCTTGTCAGACTTGGATGGCTCTGACTTCTTAGACTTCTTGGGCGCTGGCTCTTCGTCCTCGTCATCATCGGCCTTCTTGCGACCACGCTTCTGCTTCGCGGCCTTGGGCTTTTCCTCCTCCTCGTCCTACCATAATGTGTAAGCAGTGATGTTCTGATGGATGAAGATGACCAACGTCACGGAACTTACCTCTTCGTCCTTCTTCTCCTTAGCAAGCTTCTTCTCCTTTTGCTTCGCCGTGAGATGGATTCCCTTCTCTCCTGGCTTGTTTTTCTCAGGATCCTAGAAGGAAAACTATTTAGCATGCTGAGCGCGCATCGCAGTTTGAAAGAGCGACATACCCCATTGAAATCCTTAGGATCAATATGGCCCTGTTCCACGGCTTGCCTTATCTTTGCCTGTGCTTCAGGGTGGTCGCTAAAGAAGATGTCAGGCAATCTGGTATCAAACACATTGGGGATGGGGAAACTTGGGGCACACTTGATCTCATCGTAGCCATCAATGGCGCTGAAGTCATAGGACCCGTCATCAGTGGTGCACACTTCCTGGAACCCCCCGACTTGGAATCCAGACAAGCAGCCCCTGTGAGTGTTCAACCAAGTTAGAAATCGTGATCCTGATCCTCAAAGTAAAGGTTTCGAGGATATTCCTCACCAGTGCTTCCAGGACCAGCTTCCATGCTCCTGGATCTCGACCCAGGTGCCGACACGAATCTCGCCCTTCGTGATCTTGACCCCTTCTTTCTTGCAAACTGTGTCCTTGCAGACAGCCCGGTTGTTGGGCGACACCTCTGTCGGGATGTCAGCCACCTGATTAATGGGATGAGAGGGCCCGAGAGGAAATGGGATGGAGGAAGAAAGACGTGTAACTAGTGATCTTACCAATTCTGTACTGAGGCATCTTGACGGATTTTCGGTTTTCACAAGAGTTGTGAGGAAACGACGTGTCGCTTTGGAATTTTTAGAATTGCGACAGATGCGCTGTAGGCCTTTACCTTTCTGTTAGTGCTTGCGCTCAGTGGAAATCACACCCAGCGACGCGTGGGGAGGGAAGAAACAAACAGTCGCGTCACACCAGATTCCTGAGAAGAAACAATGCAGACGGAAGACAAGAAGGCGGCAGCTTACAGGCAGATGAAATTCACGAGCGCGATACGAAGGGTGTTGTGTGGTGGTGGGAAAAAAGAAATTTGAGGGAAAGGGTGTTGCTCAAATGGTGCGAGGCACGCACCTTCCCTTCTACCCCCCCAGCACACGTGTGTTGCAGCGCGTTCCATCGCTTCGCCTCAGGCTGCCACCTCACCACACTGTCACATCAATCACAACACCAGTCTCTGCCGCTCACCCGGTTCTCATTCTCAAGAGCGAATGAATGGCTATTCTTGTTGAGTCTATTGTTTCAATTGCATCTGATACAAAATGTGCCTTATTGCGCCAAATTCGCCATATATAATATACATTCTGCATTGCCAGATCACCCAATCACACCCAACCTAAGCGCCGTTCCCGTATGCACGCAATAATGATGAGATGCCGCAACCTAGGACCCCTTGATGCAATTTTTATAAGAATGGACACCAGCCGATATACATAGAAGTCAAGTTTCGAGGGTCCACGGCTTGCTTGATTAGCTCCTCCACTTGACCTTCGACGCTGAGAGGGATGCTTTCGTTGGGCAGCAACCCCTTCACCTTCCTTTTGATGCTATCCACCACGCTCTGTGGTTGTAGCTTGATGCCTCCTTGGTCAGTTCTTCTTGCAGTCCGTTTGTCCTTTTGGAGATCAAGAGTTGGATCGTAAATGAAAGATTCAAGAACAGTCATCAGCGTCTCCTCCTGCTGCCGCAGAATACTGAGCGTTAATTCTGAAGACTTCCTGAACGGACCTTCGTATCCGTAAATGCCCATTGCTGTCACCATGTTGTGTGTCAACCGGAAGGGGACACGCTCTGGCTTTGCAAAAGTCAGGCCCTTGTCAAACAGGCAGTTGAAGTCAACGTGAAAGATACCGCCATTGCCCTCTTCCAGATTGACATTTTCACCATGCCGATCGCCCAAGCCAAGAATCGTCCCAACCATTGACATGACTGCACATGAGCGAGTATATCTCAGCCGTGCGTCGAACCAAGCTGATGGGTTTGGAAACTGTTGAATGAACCAAAGATGAAGAACTGGCGGGAAGCGGCCCACCACTTCGTCGATGTACCTCCGGATTTTGGACTCAGACATCGACGCTTCTTCCATCACCTGTTTCAAAGACATGTAATCGGGATAGATTTTCCTAATGGAATACAGATTCAGAAGAATATCGCGCATTGTCTTGAGACCCGGAACCCATTCAATGATACCACACTCCTCATTCAGTGGTACAACGGCGTATGTTCGAATGTAGAGCTGCCTTTTACTGGATTCAGCGTCACGTTTGAGTGATCTGTTGATCATCCCGTTGAACTCCATAAGACGTTGGTCTGTGCGAAGATCGTCCTTTGGCTTGATAAGTAGCATATAATTCTTACCATCAGAGCCACGGGCAGTCAGTCGTCTCGGCTTGGCCAAGGAGCTGAGAACCAAAACATCATCTTGGAACGAGTCAATCGTAACGACATCTCTAGAAAATGCCTGGTGCCTCTTCACAAATTCCGATACTGCTGGCAAGGTACACGTGAGGGAGCTCTCCACGGGCACGACGAGCGGGCACGGCGTGCATTTAGGGTTGAAGCGAAGGTCTCGCGTTAAGCTGGCACGAACAGTCTTGTTGCCGTGGAAGTCCCCGTTCTGGCATGCGAGAAGAAGCTGCTCAGCCAACCTCTCTCCCATCCGAAGAAGCGATTTGAGATCGTAATTCGACCCTTCGACTTTCTTAGAACCGTTTCTTAGGGCTTGAAGAATCTGTGTTGCTCTTGCTTTTCTTTCAGACACCTGCTTCGATGTCATGATGCCTATGAGCCCCCACAGGGCTTGTCGTGGATGCGCCTCGACGACTTTGACAATGATGTGCGTCAAGCGGTCAAAAACACTTGGGTTAGGGTGTGCGATACGAGCGACTACCTGTGGCAGCGCTGTGTAGAATATATAAGCGGGTAGTCTCTGGATATACTTGTCGAGGAATTGGTGAAGGTTGTTCAATTGTTCAACCCGCCTCTTGTGCAATTCACGAGACACGGAGGCTTTGCCCTCAGGAGGCCTGTCCACATCGGCGCCGATATCTAGCCACAGGGTTAAGATCCTTGGAAGCGTCTGATACAGGAACTTCGTCCCATAGTTGAGGGATCTCATGTAATTCTCGATGACCAGCCTTGCAATTTCGCCTGTGACAACATAGTCACTTTGATCATCGGCCTTCAGTGATTTTTCGGATTCCAAAATTTTTTTGTAGTGTCTTCCAAGATAGTAATGCCCTTTCTCCCAAGTTGAGCATGTCTTTGCTGGCTGCTGATACCTCTCCCGCAGAGTTGTGGCATTGGTTTGCCCTGCGGTATCTAGCCATTTAGCAAGTAGGAGCTGTGCACGAGCAGTGAGCAGCTTTTCTTGGCCATTTTCTTTAACACTTGCTTCAGTTTCAGTTGTGGTAGTTGGTCCTGTCTGCGTCATGAACTTTTTCTGCTCAATAGCGCCCTGGAGCAGCTGGATTGCCTTGCGATGATGCCCATCTCTCCACAGAAGCTTGGCGTTTTCAAGGGTTGCACCGTTATCTCCCAAGCGCGAGGCATGCAATACTGCGTTAAACGACTGGTTGACTAGATTTGTTTTCCTAGCGAGGCGGGCGCTAGAGAGCCATAGACCAGAAATATCGGTAGTGGCAAACTTGGGCCTTCAGACAGTCAGTTATCAAACTACTACAAAAGATATGCAGCACTTGACTTACTTAGATAGCATCATTGCAGCCCTGCGGACACCAAGAAGATATTGCTTGTCGTTAGAATATGCGCCTATCATGTTTAGACGGTTATCAAGAAGTGACAAGAGCTTGCGATGTTCTGTTTCACTGTGATTCCCCGCGGTAATGATCATCTCTATGTCTGTCAATACATGACTCCGAAGTAAGTGCTCATGCGCTGTGCGAAGTGATGTCGTTGCAGACGCATTCAGGGATGAAGAAACGCTTTCACGAATCTCGCGTAAAGTTTCAGTATAGTGCTCCGTGCCCCGTCCTGCGCGAAGAGAGTCAAAGAGATAGGCAATTGACATATTAAAGTCGTGTAACTTGCTGCCTTGGAACCGATTGGTGAACTTCTCTAGGCTTTCCCAACGGCCAGTGACCCATGCAGCTTCCACGGCGAAAGGCATAATACGGTTATCACTGGAGCTGTTTGCACGAATACCTTCCACATGATTCAAGAGATTATCTGACCATTGTTAGTTGTTGCTTCTTCGAGAATCGCGCCAAGGATACTTACCATGCTGGCCTGCTTGTTTCAGACAGTTGAGGAGCTCTAGTTGAACATCGCTGTTGTCAGGTTCCTCCACCAGTTGCATCTCGTACCATGTCTGAGCAGCGCCCCAGCGCCCAGCCTTCTTGTGGCCCAATATTTGCTGATTGAGATCAAGCGCAGGAAGATGGGCCGAGATGCCGTCCAGGCCATCAGGTTCATCAATGTTCGCATATATGTCCTGAAGCTGCTCGAGAAGGCGAACTCTCTCCTCAGGCTCAGACTTCTTCTGCTCCACATTCTGAGCATGCTGTTCGAGGTGGAAGAGGGCACGCGCATACTCATTACACTGGATCGCACGTTGTGCTATGAGTTGCGCAGGGATCAAATCCAGAGCCCGTTGAACTCGTGTTAGGCTCTCCTTGTCCAGTGTCGTCAATTTGGGCACTGAGCGCTTGTTCTGAACCCAGCGCATGAGGTAGTCTAGAACCCTGAAGACAGACTAAGAAATCGTCAACAACAATCTTTCGATAATGAAGGATTCGACTTACATAGTAAAACCGTTTCATGTCTTCCTTTACCACCAAGGGCGAACTGTCCTCAGCTTCACATTCCAGAATCAACTTCATTTCTTCAAGAACAGAGTTCTTGACTGACGTGCCACTGTTGTGTCCGATGATTACATGTGCAACAAGGTAGGGAAGAAGGAACTCTGCGGTTGAGAGATCCTTGACCCGAATAACTCGGGAGAGCGGTTCAAAGAGCATGTCTGCATGAGGATTTTGTCCCATCTGAAGAAGTCCCAAAACGAATGTCCTCAGCCAAGTGGCATAGGGCTTACCCGGACGAAAGACTGGATAAGCAGTTGCAGTTGGGGCCATTGGCGCTACAATGTATTTAGATCGTAGGAAGGGCTCAAGAACCTCCCGCACATTCTCAGGGATCGCCATCCACTTGCGATAGATTTCGTTTCCTGAGAGCACACCCGTATCCTGCATGCTACACACGGTTTTGATATCACACCTCTCCAAGAGTTCCTGCATTGCGTATGATAGGAATCCTTGGATCTTAGTATCGGTTGCCGAGAGAAATGCGGGAACGAGCACTTCTTCTAGGATAAACAAACCGAAATCAGATACTTCTTCAGGCTTTTCAAAGTTGTCCAAAATGACAATGGAACGATGTTCTCTGGCAGCTTCAACCTGGTTGGAATCCACACAGCCAACCAAGCCAATGCACTCTACCACTAATCGAGATATCTCGACGTGAAGTCCGTTGTACTTGTACGCACAATCGAGTAGTGCTCGAAGCAAGCTGGGAATGATAGATCCAGGTTGCTGGGAAGTTGTGGAGGTCACAAGTGCCACATCATCTTGTTTTAAATATGTGGCTAGCTCGACAAGTGCTTGTTGGACGACCCCCGAGTTATCATTGCCAATCCTCTGAGAATAAGCTTCAAGGGCAGTCTCGGGGGTTAGAACTGGTCGAAGTTTCTCAAGTTTTGCCTCAATAGGCTCAAGACCTGGTAGCCC